TCACCATCGTTGTCAACGCACCGCCTGCAATTTTCTCCACGTGGTCTGCAGAGCTCCTGAGAGGCGGCGCATTTCTCGCGGCGTCGTTGCAAATATCTCAGAAGTGTTAGAATTATTTTTAAAACATTTGAAGCACACCCCTGTAATTGGGAGACTTTGACTTCGAAACAACTTTTATTGCCGCCAGCAGCAACAGCACTGGAGGCGATTCCGATACGAAACACACAAAGTCACCAGCAACACAAATAACAAACGCTATAAATCAACGCGCTGTGGCGCTAAATGCGCCGCGCACAACACGAAAAAAAGCCACGTGGTGGGGGTGGTGGTCATCGCGCACGCCACGGTGACGAGCGAGCGCTTCAGAAGGTGAACACCACGAGGGTGCCGTCCACGCTGGTACAGATGTAGTAAGTTCGAGGAGACGATGTCGAAGTTGAGACACACTGTTTATTAACCCAGGGACAGGCACAATAGTTGAAGGGGTATCGGCCCCTTCACCCGTACTATGGGAAACCCACCCTAGTACTAAGCCCTCTGTCCTGTCCCCCAGTCCTCCTCTACTGGGCTACGGGAGGCTGACTGATATGGCCCTGGCAAGCACAGATCTCGGCACCAGCTAACCAGCCTTGCCCTGATAAGGGCAGCGGTCTGGAAGCTTTTGGGCCGCGCCGCTGGCTTACCCGGCTCGGCCCTTATAAGGACGGCGAGACCGGGGAGTCCCAGGGCCTAATCTCCGAGTCTTGGATCTTCACTGGTCAGCTTCGTGTCGAACTCCCTCGAGCTCTTTGGGTCTCCACCTTTTATAGGGATCACCTCCGAGGGCTGGGGGCGTGGGCAATAACGGATGCGGACGTCGGTGTGACCACCCGTGTATGTGAGTGCCGACACCCCTGTGTTTGTTGTCCGCCGTTTCTCCCGTAATAATCCCTACACAGAGAAGGGCTTTTCCGGCCTCCCAGCGTTCAAAGAAAACGCGCACATCACCGGCATGTGTGTGGTACATGGCGTGCTCCAGCCGGAGCCGCGCCTGTAATTGGGAGAAGGTTCTCGGTTCGGGACAGGAGACGCGAAGATGATGAGGATGAAGAAGCCGATGAGAGTCTCGCTAATTTTAACTCGCGAGGGGGTGCCGTTAAGACGCGGTCAGTTATATTTGTCTTACCCACTTGGGGCTCTCGGTGTCCCATACACACGCACGTGTGTGTGTGTGTCTGGCACAGATACAATTGGAGGCTGATCGATGCCCGGGTGCGATCAAGGGATGGCTCCCTATTGGTCAACCACGTTATGTATGCCGATGATCTGGTAATTGCCGCTCACTCAGAGGAGGAGTTGGAGATGCTGCTGTTGAGACTGGAGCGTGCCACTAAGAGGTGGGGCCTTACCATCAGCCCCACCAAAACTAAGCACCTGCCTGGGTATGTTGTACTATCGGACACTCCACCCCCACAACTCCCAATCGGTGATGGGGCAGTTGTGGATAGAGTGGAGAGTTTCCCATACCTGGGCAGTATGCTCATGACCGGCTCCGGTTTAACAGCAGAGGCCTCACTCCGAATCAGTCAAGCGGCATTATCTTTTCATCGGTTGCGTAACGCTGTGTGGAAGCTACCTGGTCTGTCGCTCCGCACGAAGCTTCGGATCTTCTCGGGCACAGTCATTTCCTCCCTTCTCTACGCTTGCGAAACGTGGACCCCCCTAATGGAACATCTTCGCCGGTTAGAAACATTTAGGCTGGGCCATGTAGCCCGTATGCCCAATCACCGCATGCCCAAACAGCTTTTGTTTGGCCGGATCGAGGGGGCTAAACGGGCGCGGCACGGGCTAGAGAAGAGATGGAGTGACGTGGTACAGGAGGATGTGGAGCTGAGTGGACTTGCCGATGACTGGTACCAGCGGTGTCAAGGTCGGCTTCTGTGGAGAAGGCTCATGATGGACGCTACTGGGCAGTTGGAGGCAGTCGCCCTCCAACAACAACAGAGGGTGGAGGAGCGACGCTCACAATAACGAGCGGAGCGCCGGGTAGCTAAAGCACAGCAAGTGGTGGTGCATCAGCCAGTCATCTCGGTCATCTCAGTCAGTCGACCCGTGGTACCTGCTGGGTCTGCCCCGTTACCTCCTTCCAGCGGGCGTTCGACACTTCACGTGGCCTCAACGTGCACATAGCCTGGCACAAGCGTCGTGGTGACGTCACCGCCACTTAGTGGCGAATGGCGGTTGTTGTTGTTGTGGGTGAGTGTGTCTGTGTGTCACTGTGTGTGTGTCTGTGCGTGTTAAGTTTGTCGGGAGCGGTGGCGCAGCGGTCAGGCCACGGCTGAATCGGGCCTTAGCTGATGCCTGAACCGAGCTGAGCTGAACCTGAACCGAGCTGAGCTGAGCCAAGCCGTGATTAAGAACACGATCCTCAAACGGGTGGAGGTTGGGGGGAGCACCCGTGACCATTCCCGGCCGACTCGACGGCAACAACAAGTAAACCCGTAAAAACAAAGTTTTTCACTCTAAATCCTTTATATGCGTGGCGGCTAGAGTCCTCTCGTCCTCTGGCTTGAGATGGCTGCCACCTATGGGTCAGATGATTGTCTGCCAGTATTAAGCAATTGGTAATTAAATATTTAATTTGTTTTCCCTAAACAGTGTAAATTTTTGGAAATTTGTTTTCACGAACATTAATTGTCTCGCACAACGAGTCTGTGTGGAAAATGTCAGCTCGATTGGATCACGGGAAGTGGGTTAAAAAACGACCGAAAGATTTGCACGGTCGTAAGCAAGCAAGCACGCAAGCAAGCAAGCGAACTTAATATAAAGGATTAAAAAATAATCCATCGCGATCAGAGTCTCGGTCACCGTCGGTCACCCACTCGTAACTCACAGCAGGAAGTAACAGCGGCGCAATCAACGCAGCGTATACACACGAAGCTTCAAAGCCGTATGCAACAACAATAAAAAGTAATATTTACAAAACGTTTTTTTAAAAACACGCTTTAATGAAATGTACCGTACTAGTAATGGAAGAACTCCACGACTCCAGGAAGTGGCCCCGAAGCTTGCCATAACGTAAGGGACCCGTGGTGATTGACAGCCAACGTCAGTTGAGCGTGGACAGTTAGACCCAAGCCGAAACATAACATATAAAAAAGATTGTTTAAAAATATTTTTTTTTATTTTTAACGATATAATTAAGTATTGTCCATCAGTATGACATAAGTATACCAAGTTTGCAGTCGATACCACATTGGGAAGTGGGTTAAAATTGAGTTACAATATTTGAGGATACAACAACAACAGACAGAGTTCATAGAAAGCGTGTAATAATAAAAACCAACAACCCAACAGATCCTGTAGAACTGCACTGTGGTTCCCCCTCCAATCTTTAATTTTATTTTTACGCGCACAAGATCGCCCTCAGTAAGTAAGGCGGGCGTCGGCGCTCAGTACAACAGAACGGGAATGGGTACAGGGGAGATGGCGGGGCATAGAGCAGCAACGGGAATTCGAAATGTGAGCTTACGTGAGCGAAGGCAAGCAACAGTGATGCAGAGATGGGCGAGCTGCGGTTGGGGAGGTTTTGTCCTCGTTTGGGACTCCAATCGGCAGCACAGCGTAGGCACCAACGCTCGCCGCTGCGGATTCTGCCTCTGGGAGCCTCATACCACAGGCGTAACGGTCCTAACTCCATAAGGGTGACCTCAACGTCGGCACTCCCTACCACCTGCCCCCTCCCCCCATACGCTGACGCTAATCCCTGGAGGGAGCTGTGGATGAAGGAGGGAGCTGTGGGTGAAAGGAGAGAGCTGTGGATGAAGGAGGGAGCTGTGGATGGAGGGAGTTGTGGATGAAGGAGGGAGCTGCGGATGAAGGAGGGAGCTGTGGATGAACGAGAGAGCTGCGGATGAAGGAGAGAGCTGCAGATGAAGGAGGGAGCTGTGGATGAAGGAGAGAGCTGTGGATGAAGGAGGGAGCTGTGGATGAAGGAGGGAGCTGTGGATGAAGGAGGGAGTTGTGGATGAAGGAGGGAACTGTGGATGAAGGAGGGAGCTGTGGGTGAAAGGAGAGAGCTGCGGATGAAGGAGGGAGCTGTGGATGAACGAGAGAGCTGCGGATGAAGGAGAGAGCTGCAGATGAAGGAGGGAGCTGTGGATGAAGGAGAGAGCTGTGGATGAAGGAGGGAGCTGTGGATGAAGGAGGGAGCTGTGGATGAAGGAGGGAGTTGTGGATGAAGGAGGGAACTGTGGATGAAGGAGGGAGCTGTGGATGGAGGAGAGAGCTGTGGATGAAGGAGGGAGTTGTGGATGAAGGAGAGAGCTGTGGATGGAGGAGAGAGCTGTGGATGAAGGAGGGAGTTGTGGATGAAGGAGAGAGTTGTGGATGAGGGAGAGAGCTGTGGATGAAGGAGAGAGCTGTGGATGAAGGAGGGAGCTGTGGATGAAGGAGGGAGTTGTGGATGAAGGAGGGAGTTGTGGATGGAGGAGAGAGCTGTGGATGAAGGAGAGAGCTGTGGATGAAGGAGAGAGCTGTGGATGAAGGAGGGAGTTGTGGATGAAGGAGGGAGCTGTGGATGAAGGAGGGAGTTGTGGATGAAGGAGGGAGCTGTGGATGAAGGAGAGAGCTGTGGATGAAGGAGAGAGCTGTGGATGAAGGAGGGAGTTGTGGATGAAGGAGGGAGCTGTGGATGAAGGAGGGAGTTGTGGATGAAGGAGGGAACTGTGGATGAAGGAGGGAGTTGTGGATGAAGGAGAGAGCTGTGGATGGAGGAGAGAGCTGTGGATGAAGGAGGGAGTTGTGGATGAAGGAGAGAGTTGTGGATGAAGGAGGGAGTTGTGGATGAAGGAGGGAGCTGTGGATGAAGGAGAGAGCTGTGGATGAAGGCGAGAGCTGTGGGTGAAGGAGAGAGCTGTGAGTGAAGGAGAGAGCTGTGGATTAATGAGGGAGCTGTGGATGAAGGAGAGAGCTGTGGATGAAGGCGAGAGCTGTGGATGAAGGAGGGCGCTGTGGATGAAGGAGAGAGCTGTGGATGGAGGAGGGAGCTGTGGATGAAGGAAAGAGCTGTGGATGAAGGCGAGAGCTGTGGATGAAGGAGGGAGCTGTGGATGAAGGAAAGAGCTGTGGATGAAGGAAAGAGCTGTGGATGAAGGAGGGAGCTGTGGATGAAGGAGGGAGCTGTGGATGAAGGAGGGAGCTGTGGATGAAGGAGAGAGCTGTGGATGAAGGAGGGAGCTGTGGATGAAGGAGGGAGCTGTGGGTGAAGGAGAGAGCTGTGGATGAAGGAGGGAGCTGTGGATGAAGGAGGGAGCTGTGGATGAAGGAGGGAGCTGTGGATGAAGGAGGGAGCTGTGGATGAAGGAGGGAGCTGTGGGTGAAGGAGAGAGCTGTGGATGAAGGAGAGAGCTGTGGATGAAGGAGGGAGCTGTGGATGAAGGCGAGAGCTGTGGATGAAGGAGGGAGCTGTATTTACATTGACCGTCTTTGATCGATGGCTCGCCAAAGGCCGCCGCTGCGAGGACGACCGGAGTTTGCGTGATGATTTCTGTTCCTTGCTGAGATCAGCGAGGTAATGTGGTGCATTGGTGGCAAGCACTTTGTAGCTAGTGTAGTGACAGTAGATGGGAAGCAGGATGGATAAGGAGGAGAGGTGATATGTGGGAGTGGTGGAGGAGATTGAAGATGATAAGGGCAGCGGATCATCTTCACACTACAAGTGAACACGGAAACAGCCATATTTTGTAATGGCGGTGATGGTGGATGTGATAGTGGGGAGCGGAAGTGCAGCGGTTAGCACATTGCGCTACCAACCCAGCGACCCGAGTTCGATTTCCGCTCCCGGCCAACACCAGTGACAATGATCTGAACCGATCCTGGGTCTCCCCTAGGTCGACCCGGTCTCAAATGAGTACCTGGTGAGATGTGTGAACATCGCCACAGTGACGGCCTTCATTGCGTGCTCGCGAACAGCCCCAAGAGTCTGTTGAAGGCTACATGGGGGGGATCTTTTGTCTTTGTGTGTGTAAGGGGGTCGGTCTCCACGAGGAGGTCTGCTCATGGCGTCCGCTCGACGGCGTGCGTCTTGTAGTGCCTCTTTAACGCGTTCCTCCGCGAGAACCCCCGGCCGCACTGCTCGCAAACGTGAGGCCTCTCTCCCGTGTGCGTCCTCGCGTGCGTCTCCAGGTTCGAGCGCTGCGAGAAGGCGCGCCCGCACTCGCCGCACGCGTGCGGCCGCTCGCCGCTGTGCGTCTTCGAGTGCTCCTTGAGGTGCGAGTGGCGGGCGAAGCCCCTCCCGCAGTCGGCGCACGAGTGCAACCTCTCGCCGGCGTGCGTCCGCGCGTGCGTCTCGAGGCCGGAGCGCCGAGCGAACGCCTCCCCGCACTCGGGGCAGGCGTGCAGCCTCTCGGGGGCGTGCGTCCGGCGGTGCGCCTCGAGGCCCGCTCGCAGCGCGAACCCCTTGCCGCAGTCGGGGCAAGCGTGCGGCCACTCGCCGGTGTGGGTGCGCGCGTGCCTCTCCAGGTTGGAGCGGCGCGTGAAACCGCGGCCACAGTCGGGGCAGGCGTGCGGCTTCTCGCCCGTGTGGGTGCGCGCGTGCGTCTCCAGGTTGACGCGCAGCGAGAAGCGCTTGCCGCACTCGCCGCACGCGTACGGCCGCTCGCCCGTGTGGGTCCTGGCGTGCGCCTCCAGGTTGGAGCGCGTCGCGAAGCCCCGGCCGCAGTCGCTGCAGGCGTGAGGCCACTCGCCCGTGTGGGTGCGCGCGTGCGTCTCCAGGTTGTAGCGCGTCGCGAACCTCTTCCCGCACTCGCCGCAAGCGTGCGGTCTCTCCCCCGTGTGCTTCCGGGCGTGAACCTCCAGGTTGCCGCGCAGCGTGAACGCCTTGCCGCACTTGGCGCACACGTGCGGACGCTCGCCGGCGTGCGTCTTCACGTGCCTCCGCAGTCGGTAGCGGTGCGTGAACCCCTTACCGCACTCGCCACACGCGTGCGGCCTCTCCCCCGTGTGCTTCCGGGCGTGAACCTTCAGGTTGCCGCGCAGCGTGAACGCCTTGCCGCACTCGGCGCACACGTGCGGACGCTCGCCGGCGTGCGTCTTCACGTGCCTCCGCAGTCGGTAGCGGTGCGTGAACCCCTTACCGCACTCGTCGCACGCGTGCGGCTTGCCGCCGTCGGCGTCGCCGGCCGCCGTGGGAGACGCCTTCCCTCGGTGCGTCGACCGCAGGCAACGTTTCTCTCCGCCGTACGTCGCCCGCTTTTTTCGCGCGACGCCTCCCGGCGGCTTCTCCCCGCACCGTGCGCAGGCTCGCGAGGTCCGGCCTCCACGTTGGCCTCCGACACCGGCCACCGCCACCGCCACGGTCGTCCGGAAGCCCTCGCCGCGGCCCTTCCCGCACTCGTCGCACGAGAGGCCCGATCCTCTCGCTGCGCCTGCCGCACAGGTTTTTATTTTTGTTAGCGAAACAAAACGCAGGGGCGGCGGTCGGTCGCAAGGGCCGGAATGACGTGGAAACGCTGTGCGCGGCGGTATGAAGGGAAAAATCTGAACCGGACCGCGTTCCGGCGAAAGGTGCCGGGGACACAAATGCGTTCTCTCCGCGATTGCGATCGGAGAGTGGTGGAAGTCTCACCTTCACCAACGTCCTCCTCCTCCTCTTCTGACAACTCCACCTCGATGAAGTTCTGGTCTGGGAAGAGCAGACGCCCACGGGAATCCCCGGAGCCGTTATCTAGTATCAGCACGATGACGACAACGACGATGACGACGATGACTCTGTGTGTGTGTGACATTCACTTTCTGTGTGTGTGTCACTGTGACACTCACTCTCTGTGTGTGTGTGAGACACTTACTCTCTGTGTGTGTGACACTCTCACTCTGTATGTGTGTGTGACATTCACTCTCTGTGTGTGTGTGAGACACTCACTCTCTGTGTGTGTGACACTCTCACTCTGTGTGTGTGTGTGACATTCACTCTCTGTGTGTGTGTGAGACACTCACTCTCTGTGTGTGTGACACTCTCACTCTGTGTGTGTGATACTCTCTCTCTGTCTGTGTGTGTGTGTGACATTCACTCTCTGTGTGTGTGTGACATTCATTCTCTGTGTGTGTGACACTCACTCTCTCTGTGTGTGTGGCGTGATGAGATGCGGGGTGGGGGAGGGGGGCCTGTCACCTCCGCTATCGTCCCCTTCCGACAACTCCACCTCGATGAAGTTGTGGTGCAGAGCGGCCGGGTTCCAGCCGCGTGAATCCCGGCTCCCCTCCGGCCTTTCGCCGGCTCCCTCGACCTTGACGATCTTCAGGTCTGGCGCTGCGATTCGGAGAGAGAGGGAGCGGTGTGAGTTGAACGCGACAGTAGCAGCAGTTGCTCAGCATCCGGTGACAATTCGTGCCTGTATCAAAAACCACCGTGGTGATGATGGTGGAACCCACGACCACCTGTACACCAGGCGAGGTAGTCAACATCTCCTAGCCACCGTGATGATGGTGGTGGTGGTGGTGGTGGAATCCACGACCTCCTGTACACTAGGCGAGGTAGTCAACATCTCCTAGCCACCGTGATGATGATGATGGTGGTGGTGGAACCCACGACCTCCTGTACACCAGGCAAGGTAGTCAACATCTCCTAGCCACCGTGATGATGATGATGGTGGTGGTGGAATCCACGACTTCTTGTACACCAGGCGAGGTAGTCAACATCTCCTAGCCACCGTGATGGTGGTGGAACCCACGACCTCCTGCGCACCAGGCGAGGTAGTCAACATCTCCTAGCCACCGTGATGGTGGTGGTGGTGGAACCCACGACCTCCTGCGCACCAGGCGAGGTAGTCAACATCTCCTAGCCACCGTGATGGTGGTGGTGGTGGAACCCACGACCTCCTGCGCACCAGGCGAGGTAGTCAACATCTCCCAGCCACTGTGGTGCCCCACATTGAGTCCGTGTACGTGGTGACAACCCACGTGCTCTCACTCACCACCATCACCACCACCATCATCACCATCATCCTCTCTCACTCACCATCATCACCGTCCTCCTCCACCTCGTTCTTCACCAGCGTCCTCACGATCTCGCGGCCCAGACGGCCCTCACCCTCCTCCTGCTTCACAACCGCTCCTGCTGCACGCGCACACACACGCTGCTGCTGCTGCTGCTGCACCGCCGCTCCTGCTGCTGCTGCTCCTGCTCAGACGAGAGGAGACCGAGAGGCTCAGAGAGACGGTGGCTGGGCCAGAGACACGGAGACGCTGGGTTCAAGCCCTGGGTCTGGGTGTCTCTCTCTATCTCTGGGAGATCATAATGGCTGTGTCAGATACACTGAGCCGGAGGAGACACTGAGATCCTGGGTTCGATCCCTGGGTCGGGGTGTCTCTCTCGGTCTCTCAGGGAGTTTATGATGACCAGGTCAGAGACACGGAGCACCCTGGGTTCGATCCCTGGGTCCGGGTGTCCCTCAGGGTCCGTGACGATCGCATCAGTCCCTGGTCGCATGAGGCCGCCGCCGCCGACAGCGGATCGAGTTGCGAGAGCTCACCGCCTTGGTCAGCAGCCGGCTCTTCACGTTTCACCGCCACGCCCGGACCCACCCCAGCGCCTGGCACGTCCTCTTCATCTTCTCGTTTGATGAGCGGCGGCGGAGCAGGAGGAGGAGCAGGAGGCTCGGCGAGAGAAGCCATCTGAGGGGTGGGGCGGCGAGGGGGTAGAAAACATCGAGGCGATTCGACGTCTCAAGACACACAGCGCCCGCCGGCTGAACGCGGAGCGGGCGGTCGCGACGGGCGGGGGAAGGCCTCGCTGCCGGCAGGGCCCTGGGAGGCAGAGGTCGCAACCGGGTACCCCCCGATACCCGTACCCTAGCCGATACCCGTACCCTAGCCGATACCCGTACCCTACCCGATACCCGTACCCTACCCGATACCCGTACCCTACCCGATACCCGGCTACTCGTACCCGGCCGGGTACGGGTACCCGTTTGTGACCCTGGTGCGGCCGGGTACGGGTACGGGTAAGGAATCAAAACCCGTTTGCGACCTCTGCTGGGAGGGGACAGACGCGGGGGGGGGGGGGGGGGCTTGCGGCCATCCCGCAGCCACTCGTTGTCGTGGCGAGCGTCGTTCCGTCAGACGCTCTCGCTGGGAGCCGGCGTGCGTCCACGGGCGTCGCGTGGATGATGCGCCGATGCCAGAACAGCGTGTTGGTAATTACAAGCCCATGGGCTGCACAAAAATCTAGCAGCCTCCTACCGTTGTTATTTGAGCTGATCTGGCCCATGCCTTCCAATTACTCCAGACCAGGTGCCAGCATCGTGACCAACTCGGGCATTGAAGTCACCCCAACAAGATGACTCTATCCCGAGGGGCCACTTTAGCCAGCACCTGTAACAGGAGGTCATAGAACGGCATCTGACTCATCGGCCTTGCCTGCATCCCTCCACGGATGTTCGTCTTCGGTGGGGGCATAAGTAACCACAACCACCACTCCTCGCCTCCGGTTAATGGGAAGGCGAGCCCATAGTAGCCTGGGGCTTACAGCTTCCCACACCTCACCGCCACGCTCCCACGCCCCCTTCATTCTTTTGTTCAGAAGAAGAGCCACACCCTGTGGTTTGGCAGCCTCCTGCTCCGAGTGGAGGACTGTCTACCCCTCATGGTGGCAGGAGGCAGAGCCGGTCCACCGGACCTCCTGAATGCCACAGAGATCCAGGCAGTACCGGTCCAGCTCCCGACAGAGGAGTGGCAGCCTCTCCTCCGCAGTGAGCGTTCGAACATTCCAAATGGGGTTTGGCCAGGAGACGTCATAGACGCCTGTCCCCCTGGGGCCTCCGACACAGTTAGTTAGATACACACAGACACACACACAGATATACACACATACACAGACACACACACAGACACAAACACACAGACAGACACACACACACACAGACACACACACAGAAACACATACACACACAGACACACACAGACACACACACAGACACAAACACACAGGCACACACACACAGACACACACACAGACACACACACAGAGACACAGACACACACACAGACACACACACACAGAGACACACACAGACACACACAGACACAAACACACAGACACACATACACACACAGACACTTACACACACAGACACACACACAGACAACAACAACAACAACCGCCATTCGCCACTAAGTGGCGGTGACGTCACCACGATGCTTGTGCCAGGCCAAGTGCACCTTGAGGCCACGTGAAGTGTCGAACGCCCGCTGGCAGGAGGTCACGGGGCAGACCCAGCAGGTGCCACGGGTCGACTGACCGAGATGACCGAGATGACTGGCTGATGCACCACCTGTGCCCCCTACTGTGCCAACTTGCTGTGCTTTAGCCACCCGGCGCTCCGCTCGTTGTTGTGAGCGTCGCTCCTCCGCCCTCCGTTGTTGTTGGAGGGCGACTGCCTCCAACTGCCCAGTAGCGTCCTTCACGAGCCTCCTCCACTGAGGCCGATCTTGACACCGCTGGTACCAGTCATCGGCAAGTCCACTCAGCTCCACGTCCTCCTGTACCACATCACTCCATCTCTTCTCCAGCCCGTGCCGCGCCCGTCTAGCCCCCTCGATCCGGCCGAACAAAAGCTGTTTAGGCATGCGGTGGCTGGGCATGCGGGCTACATGACCCAGCCAACGCAGCCTTGCCTGCCGGAGGAGCTCACTGATGGGACTTTGCCCAGATCTTTCAAGGATTTGTGAGCTCCTCACACAATCCAGCCTGGTTAAACCCAGGATGGATCGTAGGCAGGCCAGCCTAAATGTTTCCAACCGGCGAAGATGCTCCACCAGGGGGGTCCACGTCTCGCAAGCGTAGAGAAGGGAGGGAATGACCGTGGCCGAGAAGACCTGAAGCTTCGTGCGGAGCGACAGACCAGGTAGCTTCCACACAGCGTTACGCAACCGATGAAAAGATATTGCCGCTCGACTGATTCGGAGTGAGACCTCTGCTGATAGACTGGAGCCGGTCATAAGCACACTGCCCAGGTATGGGAAACTCTCCACTCTCTCCACAACTGCCCCATCACCAATTGGGAGTTGTGGGGGTGGAGTGTCCGATGGTACAAAATACCCAGGCAGGTGCTTAGTTTTGGTGGGGCTGATGGTAAGGCCCCACCTCTTAGTGGCACGCTCCAGTCTCAGCAGCAGCGTCTCCAACTCCTCCTCTGAGTGAGCAGCTATTACCAAATCATCGGCATACATAACGTGGTTGACCAATAGGGAGCCATCCCTTGATCGCACCCGGGCGTCGATCAGCCTCCCATTATATCTGTACCAAATGGAAATTCCCCCGGTACAGCTATTGAAGGCTTCACGAACTACGCGGTCAAAATAGATGTTAAATAATGTGGGAGCCAGAGGACATCCCTGTCGCACCCCAAGGTGTACAGGGAAAGGCTCCGACTCCCGGCCACGTAGTTTTACCCGGGCCCGCTCACCATCATGAAGGTCCTTAATGATCGTGAGCAGAGGGTCAGGGACTCCGAAAGCACGAAGAACAACCCAGAGCCCAGGCCTACTGATGGTATCATAGGCCTTGACCAGGTCAATAAAGCAGAGATGTAGGTCTTTTTGGAATTCCCTACACCTCTGCTGTAGCAGACGGACAGAAAATATGGCATCTGTGCAGGACCGCCCTTTCCTGAAACCGCATTGGGGCTCCGCAAGCCTCTCCTCAGCGTGCCTAGCAAGGCGATGTTGAATAATCCTTGCCAGGACCTTACCCGGCACACTGAGGAGTGAGATGCCCCTGTAGTTGTTACAGTCGGTACGGTCCCCCTTCTTAAAGAGGGGAACCACCAGGGCATCCTTCCAGTCCTGCGGAACCCGTCCAGTGGTCCAGACTGTTGTTATGATGTCATATACACACACAGACACACACACACAGACACACACACAGACACACACAGACACAAACACACAGACACACACACAAGACAGACACACACACACAGACAGACAGACACACACACAGACACTTACACACACACACCTGAGTCTGGGTGGGTGGGGGCTGAGGGGGGGGGACCTCCACCCACCCCCTCGGCCGCCTTTGTCTCAACGGGCAGCAGTCGCGCGTCAAAACGCACGTGGGCAGACGACGACGAGGATGATGACGATTTTGACGATGATGATGACGATGATGATGATGACGTTGATGATGATGACGACGATGTTGATGATGACTCTGGGTGTCACGCGAAGAGCTGCAGGGTGACGAGGCGCAGGGGAGCGACAAGATGCAGCACAAGGCGCAGCCACGGCAGTGAGAACCGTGCACTAGGAACAGACTCCCAAATCCACTCACACACTCACCCAGACAGTCACACACTTACTCACTCACACACTCACTCACACACTCACTCACCCACTTACTCACCCACTCACTCACTCACCCACTCATCCACTCACACACTCACTCACTCACCCACTTACTCACCCACTCACTCACCCACTGACTCACCCACTCATCCACTCACCCACTCACTCACCCACTCACTCACCCACCCACTTACTCATTCACCCACTCATCCACTCACACACTCACTCACTCACCCACTTACTCACCCACTCACTCACCCACTCATCCACTCACTCACCCACTCACTCACCCACTCACTCACCCACATACTCACTCACCCAGACAGACACACACTCACTCACTCACACACTCACTCACCCACACACTCACTCACCCACTCACTCACCCACATACTCACTCACCCAGACAGACACACACTTACTCACTCACACACTCACTCACACACTCACTCACCCACTTACTCACCCACTCACTCACTCACTCACTCACTCATCCACTCACACACTCACTCACTCACCCACTTACTCACCCACTCACTCACCCACTCACTCACCCACTCATCCACTCACCCACTCACTCACCCACTCACTCTCCCACCCACTTACTCATTCACCCACTCATCCACTCACACACTCACTCACTCACTCACCCACTTACTCACCCACTCACTCACCCACTCATCCACTCACTCACCCACTCACTCACCCACTCACTCACCCACATACTCACTCACCCAGACAGACACACACTCACTCACTCACACACTCACTCACCCACACACTCACTCACCCACACACTCACTCGCTCACTCACTCACCCACACACTCACCCACTCACTCACCCACTTACTCACTCATCCACTCACTCACCCGCTCACTCACTCACCCACACACTCAATCACCCACTCACTCACCCACCCATTCACACACTCACTCACCCACCCATCCACCCCCCACTCATTCACTCACCCAACAACAGCCGCCGATCGCCAATAATTGGCGGTGACGTCACCACGACGCTTGTGCCAGGCCATGTGCACCTTGAGGCCACGTGAAGTGTCGAACACCCGCTAGCAGGAGGTCAGGGGGCAGACCCAGGTGCCACGGGTCGACTGACTGAGATGACTGGCTGATGCACCACCTGTGCCCCCTACTGTGCCAACTTGCTGTGCTTTAGCCACCCGGCGCTCCGCTCGTTGTTGTGAGCGTCGCTCCTCCGCCCTCCGTTGATGTTGGAGGGCGACTGCCTCCAACTGCCCAGTAGCGTCTTTCACGAGCCTCCTCCACTGAGGCCGATCTTGACACCGCTGGTACCAGTCATCGGCAAGTCCACTCAGCTCCACATCCTCCTGTACCACATCACTCCATATCTTTTCGCCCGTGTCGCGCCCTTTGAGCCCCCTATATCCAATCTAACATAAGCTGTTTAGGCATGCGGTGGCTGGGCATGCGGGCTACATGACCCAGCCAACGCAGCCTTGCCTGCCGGAGGAGCTCACCGATGGGTCTTTGTTCAGATCTTTCAAAGATTCGTGAGCTCCTCACACAATCCAGCCTGCAGGTTAAACCCAGGTAGCTTCACACAGTGTTACACAACCGATGAAAAGATAATGCCGCTCGACTGATTCGGAGTGAGACCTCTGCTGTTAAACCGGAGCCAGTCATGAGCACACTGCTCAGGTATGGGAAACTCTCCACTGTCTCCACAACTTCCACATCACCAATTGGGAGTCGTGGGGGTGGAGTGTCTGAAGGTACAAAATACCCAGGCAGGTGCTTAGTTTTGGTGGGGCTGATAGTAAGGCCCCACCTCTTAGTGGCACGCTCCAGTCTCAGCAGCAGCGCCTCCAACTCCTCCTCTGAACGAGCAGCTATTACCAAATCATCGGCATACATAACGTGGTTGACCAATAGGGAGCCATCCCTTGACCGCACCCGGGCATCGATCAGCCTCCCATTGTATCTGTACCAGATGTAAAATTTTCCAGTACAGCCATCGAAGGTTTCACAAAATACATGGTCAAAATAGATGTTAAATAATTTAAGAGCCAGAGGACATCCCTGTCGCACCCCAAGGTGTACAGGGAAAGGCTCTGACTCCCGGCCACGTAGTTTTACCCGGGCCCGCTCACCATCATGAAGGTCCTTAATGAGCGTGAGCAGAGTGTCAGGGACTCCAAAAGCACGAAGAACAACCCAGAGCCCAGGACTACTGATGGTATCATAGGCCTTGACCAGGTCAATAAAGCAGAGATGTAGGTTTTGTGGGAATTCCCTACAACTCTGCTGTAGAAGACGGACAGAAAATATGGCATCTGTGCAGGACCGCCCTTTCCTGAAACCACATTGGGGCTCCGCAAGCCTCTCCTCAGTGCCTGGCAAAGCGATGTTGAATAATCCTTGCCAGGAACTTTCCCTGTACACTTAGGAGATGCCCCTGTAGTTGTTACAGTTTGTGTGGTCCCCCTTCTTAAAGAGGGGGACCACCAGGGAATCCTTCCAATCCTGCGGAACCCGTCCAGTGGTCCAGACTGTTGTTATGATGTCATGTAGGGCAGTCTGTGCACAAACGCCACCCTCCCTCAGCATTTCGCTTGGGAGATCATCTCTGCCCGGTGCCTTTACTGGTCTCAGACTCTGGATCGCCTTCAGTACTTCCTCAACAGATGGCACCTCAGCCAGCCCACTCACAGGGGGTGACTTCTTATTCCAATATTTGAGGGACCGCAGCCTCAGCAGGGTCATCCCCACTTTGTCCCACGATGTTTTCCAGGCTGAGGGATTCCCCTCCCCCAGGACCTCACAGAAATGCTCAGCAAATCTGCAAACCTGTTCCAGGGGGTCGGATATTGGATCACCGTTCTTTCCCCTAATGATGGTAATAGGTGTGGCGCTGCAGGTTACTTTTTATGGAATTAAAGAGTGATTTGTAATCGCGGGCCACTGAGGCAGATTCCATCTCCTCAGCAACCCGCAACCATCCCCCCATTCTTGCAGCGCCTCACGGCTCTCCGAACCTCCGAGCGAAGGCTGCGGTAAGCCTCCTCATTCACTGACGTGGGATGCTGTAGCCGATGAGAGTGGGCCTGTCGCTTTTTCTCAACCATCCTGAACACCTCCTCTGTCAGCCAGGGTCTCTGGGGAGGTCTGGACCGTGTACCCAAAGCAGCCATTGCAGCTGCATGAGTCACAGTCCTAAACCTCGCCCATTTCCCCTCGACATCAGGAGGAGTGGGGAAAGATGCCAACCCCAGCTGCAAGCGATGATGAAATTCTAGCTTGCAACTTTCACCAGCGAGCTGAGACCAGGCCACTATGGGTTTGAATGGGGTCCACCCACCACCGGAGTGGAAGAATGGCAGGCGCATCTTACAGATAACAAGTCGATGGTCAGAGGGCAGATCAGCTCCACGGTAGGTCCTGGTGTTAAGGATATGGGCCCACGTCCACTGTTTCGTCACTATGTAGTCCAGAAGATGTTCTTGCTTGGACCCGGCATGCATCCACGATGTTGTGTGGATGCGCCGATGCCGGAAGAGCGTGTTGGTAATTACAAGCCCATGAGCTGGACAAAAATCTAGCAGCCTCCTACCGTTGTTTTTGAGCTGATCTAGCCCATGCCTTCCAATCACTCCAGACCAGGTGCCAGCATCATGACCGATTCGGGCATTAAAGTCACTCAACAAGATGACTCTATCCCGAGGGGCCACTTTAGCTAGCACCTGTGACAGGAGGTCATAGAAGGCATCTGACTCATCAGCCTTGCCTGCATCCCTCCACGGATGTTCATCTTCGGTGGGGGCACAAGTAACCATGACCACCACTCTTCGCCTCCGGTTGATGGGAAGGCGAGCCCAAAGTAGCCTGGGGCTCACAGCTTCCCACACCTCACCGCCACGCTCCCACGCCCCCTTCATTCCTTTGTTCAGAAGAAGAGCCACTCGCTGTTGTTTGGCAGTCTCCTGCCCCGAGTAGAGGACTGTCCACCCCTCATGGTGACAGGAGCCAGAACCGGTCCACCGGACCTCCTGAATGCCACAGAGATCCAGGCGGTACCGGTTCGAACATTCCACGTGGCCACCCGTAGTGGGTTTTTAAATCCTTTATATTAAGTTCGCTTGCTTGCTTGCTTGCGTGCTTGCTTGCGTGCTTGCTTGCTTGCGTGCTTGCGTGCTTGCTTGCTTACGACCGTGTAAATCTTTTGGTCGTTTTTTAACCCACTTCCCGTGATCCAATCGAGTTGACATTTTCCACACAGACTTGTTGTGCGTGAGAATTAATGTTCGTGAAACATTTTTTTAAATATTTATTTACCAATTGCTTAATGGTGGCAGACAATCATCTGACCCATAGGTGGCAGCCATCTCAAGCCAGAGGACGAGAGGACTCTAGCCGCCACGCATATAAAGGATTTATAGTGAAAAACTTTCTTTTTACGGGTTATACTTATTGCTGCTTCGGGAGGAACCCCGAGGGTAAAGATTCAGTCTTCTGGCTCCGCAAAATGGGGTTTGGCCAGACGTCATAGACGCCTGTCCCCCCGGGCCTCCAGCACAAGCTTCGTTTAATTCATCTGAAGGTGGTGGATACAAACGCCATAAGGGGATGGTCAATCTAAATTGCCCCCTCCCCCCCCCATGGCATTGCTCACCACAGCGTTGCCGTCTGGCATTCACCGACCCCCACTCATTCATCCACCTACCCATTCATTCACCCACTCACTCACTCAGCCAGCCACCCACTCACCTATCCACCCATCCACTCACTCACCCAGCCACTCATTCACTCACTCGCCCACCCACCCATTCACCACCCACCCACCCACTATCTCTCCCCGTGGAGATATTAACTACCTCACCTGGTATGAAGGCGGTAGTGGGTTCGATCCTGACCCTGATACCCGCTGTATATTTGGAATTTGCGTGTCTCTCTATCTCCCTGTGAAGATGTTAACGACCTCGCCTGGTGTGCAGGAGCTCGTGGGTTCGACCCCCATCCTGACACTGCCTGCTGTATATCTGTAATTTGCGTGTCTCTCTCTCCCTGTGGTCGCGGGTTTTTTTCTCCGGGTCCTCCGGTTTTATTTCCTTCACATTTCGGAATCAACATCACGAATTTCGAGTATTTGGCTGCAATGCATTTCCACGTGACGATAAAAAACGTTATTGAGCTATCATTTGTAAGTGTGGGACCTTACCTGGTGAGATGAATCGTTTAGTTTAGAGCTGCAATGGCAGCTGCCCCTGGGCATTAGTCTGTTGCCAGTAGTGGGCGTTGTTGCCATGTGTATAATCCCAATTGATGAGTTTGCGGTGTGCATTTTCGAATTTGTACAAACCTGGATTTGCGGCGCCGGTGGCACACGATGAGCTGCTCATGATCTCACACGTCGGCTGCGAGCGGAGCAGACGGCACGGAGTCGTCCTTCATCCACAGCTCTCTCCTTCATCCACAGCTCTCTCCTTCATCCACAGCTCCCCCCTTCATCCACAGCTCTCTCCTTCGTCCACAGCTCTCTCCTTCATCCACAGCTCTCTCCTTCGTCCACAACTCTCTCCTTCATCCACAACTCTCTCCTTCATCCACAGCTCTCTCCTTCATCCACAGCTCTCTCCTTCATCCACAGCTCTCTCCTTCGTCCACAACTCTCTCCTTCATCCACAACTCTCTCCTTCATCCACAGCTCTCTCCTTCATCCACAGCTCTCTCCTTCATCCACAGCTCTCTCCTTCATCCACAACTCTCTCCTTCATCCACAGCTCTCTCCTTCGTCCACAGCTCTCTCCTTCGACCACAACTCTCTCCTTCATCCACAGCTCTCTCCTTCATCCACAGCTCTCTCCTTCATCCACAGCTCTCTCCTTCATCCACAGCTCTCTCCTTCATCCACATCTCTCTCCTTCATCCACAGCTCTCTCCTTCATCCACAACTCTCTCCTTCATCCACAACTCTCTCCTTCATCCACAGCTCTCTCCTTCATCCACAGCTCTCTCCTTCATCCACAGCTCCCTCCTTCACCCACAGCTCTCTCCTTCATCCACAGCTCCCTCCTTCATCCACAGTTCCCTCCTTCATCCACAGCTCTCTCCTTCATCCACAGCTCCCTCCTTCACCCACAGCTCTCTCCTTCATCCACAGCTCTCTCCTTCATCCACAGCTCTCTCCTTCATCCACAGCTCTCTCCTTCACCCACAGCTCTCTCCTTCATCCACAGCTCTCTCCTTCATCCACAGCTCCCTCCTTCACCCACAGCTCTCTCCTTCACCCACAGCTCTCTCCTTCATCCACAGCTCTCTCCTTCATCCACAGCTCTCTCCTTCATCCACAGCTCTCTCCTTCATCCACAGCTCCTTCATCCACAGCTCTCTCCTTCATCCACAGCTCTCTCCTTCATCCACAGTTCCATCACCCCCCCCCCCGTCACTCCTCTAAAGTCACCTCTTATCCCCACAGATTCCTTCCCCTCATCCTTGTCACCTCATTTCCAGCCACCAGCCACACATCGTTACACCTCGGACCGCATGGCTCGCTTTCAGACGCGCTTCTGCGGTCATCTGGAAGGGTCTTCCGATTTCAGGAAGCCACTGTAGCTATGCTGCAGTTGTAAATCAACATCAATATTGACAAACTCATTTCTTTAGAACTGTTTTATGTTCTTGGTTCTTTCGGTAAAGTCACGTAGAAGGGAAGTAATAAAATAATAAAAATAAAACATAATAAAACAATTCTCACGACGTTTCAGCCACAACGCAAGCAGCCGTCCTGGCCGAAACGTTGTGAGAATTGTTTTATTTTTATTATTTTATTACTTCCCTTCTACGTGACTTTACCGAAAGAACCAAGAAGATGAATCCCTGCAGTCACGAAAGCTTTAAATACAAATTTTATTATGTTTTATTATTATTATTTTATTATTTCCCTTCTACGTGACTTCACCGAAAGAACCAAGAAGATGAATCCCTGCAGTCACGAAAGTTTTAAATCGAAATTTAACCGCTTTATGTGTTTAGTTTGTTGTCTTTCCCCCACACCACCGATCCGCACAGTTGACTAGGTACCGTGCGAAATAAGTTCAACACGCATACGTACACAAACGTGTCTCCTCGTGTCCACCCACCAATCTCACATCGTCACACCTCGGGGTGACTCCAGGTCAAGCAGGTGCAGGGATTGGTGGGATAGGGAATGGCGATGTTGTGGGGACCGTTAAGAAGGGACCGTTACAGTATTATTGCCACTACGGTTAATACACGGCCCTGCGGCTTTGACGAGGGTACCCCACTGATTGGAATGACACCACGACGACCACCTTCATTTCACAATCATCCGTCATTCACCGTCATTATGTAATAAAAGACTCCGTCAGGCTCTGCTGGTCTCCGCTTGTCTTTTATTCAGGTTCTTCTCCGGACCCCCCACTGGTCTCCTCCACGGACCAGCGTCGTTTCGCGCGCGCCCCGCGCACGCTCCCTCTCGCGTGCCCCGCACGCTCCTCCGTTAGCTCCTCCACTCCCGCACTCCGCACACCGCCGGCCGACGGCGTGCTGAGGTCCTTCGGCCACGTGACCGATGGCGCGGATCTCTCTCTCGCCACCCAACGTGGCTCAGACTCTTAACTTCCCCGACTGCCCCGATCTCTTCCGGGCTCACACTTATATACATTCCCCCCCACGTGACCCTGACTCCTCCCCTTCCGGATCGTCAGATCCGGCCTTCCCATACTGCCCCGCTGGCTCCGCCCCCATTCACCTCGCCGCCTCCCATTGGAGCCGAGGTGAACGGCGGCTCCTCCCACACGCCCCGCAGACCAGGCTCCGCCCCCCAACACCCTGGTCCGTGTGATTGGACCAGAGCCCAGCAGCATTTACACTCGCATTACATTTATAAAAAAAATGCACAATCGCATGCTTGCTTGTGGTAAAGCCGACAGCTCGGCTTGTTGCAAACACACACAGAGCAGAACGCACCCTTGCTGCATACCTTCAGGCGAGGTATTTGCCATCTCCGGCCCACCGGGGCATTCATCGCTACCGGAGGACACGGCAAAAACGCCACGTGAAAAAACTCCACGCGTTAGCGCGGACGGGGGGGCACGGGAGACCGACGACAAAAGTGGACGAACGCCGACTCCTCGCGAGACGCGGCAGAGGGCCGCTCGCTCGCTCGCCCGAGCTCTGCGGTTCTCAACATATCGACCCTTTCCCATGCGGGAGGACCACACGCGCTCTGCTGTAACCGCTGCCTCCTACCTGGCAGAGCCAGGGGCTACGGCTCTCCTCCACCAAACACCCACCCACGGGTAGGTCAGTCTGGAAGAGATGCATCAAAATCGACTTTTAGTGAAGCTACCCACACTCTACCCCACCACCGCAGCGGTCTAATTTACGCCACGGGTTTCATGACAAGAGGCGAGGGGCCGGCTGCCATTGGACCGACCCCCCACTGCCGTTCGGTCAACCGTCTTCGCCGGAAGATCGAATCGCCGGCGCGCGTCTCGCGGACGACGGAAGAGCACGGCGAGAAGTCCGCTCCATCTCCCGCCGCGCCACCCTCGCCGCCCTCACCGCCCTCACCGCCCTCGCCGCCAGCACCGCCCGCTACGCTGCTCCGTGCGTCGCCGCGTGCTTCTTGAGGTGCGATCGCTCGCGAAACTGCTTCCCGCACGCGTCGCAAGCGTGCGGCCTCTCGCCCGTGTGCGTGCGCGCGTGCCTCTCCAGGTGCGAGAAGCAGGCGAAGCCCTTGCCGCACTCCTTGCAGAGGCAGGGCCACTCGCCCGTGTGCATGCGCGCGTGCGCCTCCAGGTGGCACCGGCGGGCGAAGCGCCTGCCGCAGTCGGGGCACGGGTGCGGCCTCTCGCCAGTGTGGGTGCGCGCGTGCGCCTCCAGGTCGAAGGGGCGGGCGAAGCCGCGGCCGCACTCGCCGCAGGCCAGGGGCCTCCGGGCGGCGTGGCTGGCCGCGTGCGTCTTGAGCGAGTGCTTGTGCAGGAAGCGGCGGCCGCAGTCCGCGCAGGCGTGCGGCCTCTCGCCCGTGTGGAGGCGGGCGTGCGTCTCCAGGTAGGAGCGCCGCGTGAAGCCTCGGCCGCAGTCGGGGCAGGCGTGCGGGCGCTCCCCCGTGTGGGTGGCCGCGTGCAGCTTCAGCGAGGAGGCGTGCGAGAAGCGGCGGCCGCAGTCGGGGCAGCCGTGCGGCCGCTCGCCGGTGTGCGTCAGCGAGTGGCGGTCCAGGTCGGAGCAGCGGGCGAAGGCCTTGCCGCACTCGGTGCACACGTGCGGCTTCTCGCCGCCGCCGGGCGCGCGTCGCTGCTGCCGCTGACGCTGCCGCCGACGTTTCGGCAGTCGTCGATCGTCGTCGCCTTCGACGCCGTCGTCACCGTCGTCGTCGTGCGATGAGATGCCCCCGAGCGGCATCTCCTTGCCGCACCGCGCGCACGCTCGCGCGGTGCCGCCGTCGCCGCCGCCCGGTTTCGCTTCTTCGTCCCACGTGTTCCGGACGCCGCCGACGCCGCCGCGCGGCTCCGTGCCGCACTCCGCGCACAGGAGCTCCCGCTCGCCACCTTCGCCACAAGCCGCAAGCCGCATGGCAGCGGTGGTGGTGGTGGTCGTGGTGGTGGTCGTGGTGGTGGTCGTGATGGTGGTGGTGGTGGTCGTGGTGGTGGTCGTGGTGGTGGTCGTGGTGGTGGTGGTCGTGGTGGTGGTGGTCGTGGTGGTCGTGGTGGTGGTGGTCGTGGTGGTGGTGGTCGTGATGGTCGTGGTGGTGGTCGTGGTGGTGGTGGTCGTGGTGGTCGTGGTGGTGGTGGTCGTGGTGGTGGTGGTCGTGATGGTCGTGGTGGTGGTCGTGGTGGTGGTGGTCGTGGTGGTGGTGGTCGTGGTGGTGGTCGTGGTGGTCGTGGTGGTGATGGTGGTGGTCGTGGTGGTGATGGTCGTGGTGGTGTTAGTCGTGGTGGTGGTGGTCGTGATGGTGGTCGTGGTGATGGTGGTGATGGTCGTGGTGGTGGTCGTGGTGGTGGTGGTGATGGTCGTGGTGGTGGTCGTGATGGTGGTCGTGGTGGTTGTGATGGTCGTGGTGGTGATGGTGGTGATCGTGGTGGTGGTGGTGGTCGTGGTGGTGATGGTGGTGATCGTGGTGGTGATGGTCGTGGTGGTGATGGTGGTGGTCGTGATGGTCGTGGTGGTGGTCGTGGTGGTGGTGGTCGTGGTGGTGGTGGTCGTGGTGGTGGTCGTGGTGGTCGTGGTGGTGATGGTGGTGGTCGTGGTGGTGATGGTCGTGGTGGTGTTAGTCGTGGTGGTGGTGGTCGTGATGGTGGTCGTGGTGATGGTGGTGATGGTCGTGGTGGTGGTCGTGGTGGTGGTGGTGATGGTCGTGGTGGTGGTCGTGATGGTGGTCGTGGTGGTTGTGATGGTCGTGGTGGTGATGGTGGTGATCGTGGTGGTGGTGGTGGTCGTGGTGGTGATGGTGGTGATCGTGGTGGTGATGGTCGTGGTGGTGATGGTGGTGGTCGTGATGGTCGTGGTGGTGGTCGTGGTGGTGGTCGTGGTGATGGTGGTGATGGTCGTGGTGGTGGTGGTGGTGGTCGTGGTGGTCATGGTGGTGGTGGTGGCAAGGATCGGGGGGGGCGGCAGGGTGGGGGGGTGGAAAAGGGGGGGAGTTCGCAACGACAGGCGCCAAACACCACCGGCGTTTGAGCATCTTAACACCTCCAGGGTAAACGAGACCCCCCGCCCTTTAGCACGAATCCCTTCTTCTGTTGACACGATTGGCAGGGGTAGAGCAGCTATATGATGGGATACGTTTTTTTGCCAGATTGTCAAGGTTTGTCTGCATGTTCACCACAAGTTACCGCGTTTGGCTAATGCGGTACATTCCTCGCTAAATGTTATCCATGTTCGTGTTTGAACATTCTAACACAACTCCTGTTTTATTTGCCAGAGAGTGTAGAATCATTGGAAAGATGTTATCAACCACGCAAAAAAGACTTAATTACACTTTTTTGGACCATCTTATCTGACAGGCACTATCTTACTTTACTGTACCGAGTGTTAACATCCCAAGTGTTTAACAGTACTCTCTTCATTGTTCAGCCAGCATTGGTATAAACATGGGCATTTTCGTTCTTTTTCTATCATGTGTATCAGGCCTCCCCCTCTCTGTCCAATGCGTTGTGCAACAGCAACCGCGTCCACGCCGTCGTCCATTCTTTTGGCACCCCCCCTCCCCCTCCCGATGCGTTGCACGTGGCATTCCGTGCCGTCTTTGAGCCCCGCCCCCCTCCCTCCCGATACGTTCCATTCATTGGCTACCACATTCTGATGAGCTCCCCCCCCCCCCCTCTCCTCCCCCTCAACTTGCTTTTTAAGGGATTACATCTTGAATCATTGCCTCACTTGATGCAGCTAATCTGGCTGTGACGATCCCACCTGATGACGGAGACTTGTGTTGCCTCCGAAACGTCGTGATTTTTGTTTTATTTTATTTTTATTAATTTTGATGTTTTACCTACGTGACTTTACCGAAAAAACCTAAGAATATGAATCCTTGCAGTCACGAAAGCTTCAAATCTAGAAGAGTGTAGAACGTCTATTTTTTTATCTTGATTTGAAGCTTTGATGTTGACTACCTCGCCTGGTGTACAGGAGGTCGTGGGTTCCACCATCATCATCACGGTGGCTAGGATATGTTGACCACCTCGCCTGGTGTGCAGGAGGTCGTGGGTTCCACCATCATCATCACAGTGGCTAGGAGATGCTGACTACCTCGCCGGTTGTCAAGTCACTACTTTAGCCCACCGGTGTGTTGTTGAAGCGTGAAACCACAACATTTACAATTTTTGAGTACTGCGACGTTTCGCTACTAATTGCATCAAGCATCATCGGGCGAATTGTCGTACTCAAAAATTGTAAATGTTGTGGATCCACTCTTCAACAACACACCAGTGGGCTAAAGCAGTGAACTATTTTGTTTTTCGTCAACGTGACACTTTTGAGCTGATTGGCCGTGTCGGGTGGTGGAGGGTTACGACACATTTTTAAATAACGCGATCTCCCCCAACAAACGTTTATGATGAACCCTACCTGGTTGAATACGTTCTTCCAAAGATTGCTAATTGTTCTATCTACGTGACTTTACGAAAAGACCCAGAGAGAGTATGCCTATTCTTAGTTGTCAAACTTTGACACTGGCAACAATAAACAGGGTGTCCTGTGGTATCGCTTCTGCTCACCGCCCGGGCTGTGAGTGCTCCGATACGCGTGGCATTGACCTTGTGCTGGTCGCCTTTGGGTGTCGTTCTCTGGTCTACTGACGCTACCGGTGAGGCTGGGCCCTAGAGAAGGCCGCTGTCTCTGCTGTAGACCAATCAGCTTCAAAGAAATTGCGAGTCGATTATCAGAGTGTGTTTGCATGTTCAAGATCTGTGTGTGGTTAAAGCATTACTGGATTCCTTGCAGAAGGTAGAATCGATGTTGGTGTTTGAAAAGCTGAATGCAACTCCTGCTTTTTGCGTTAGATCGCGTAAATCGACGCCATCTAACCCAACAAAACCTCGACTATAAATATTGGTTGCGAAAGCTGACGTGTTACTCCAGCTGTGAGTGCTCCGATACGCGTGGCATTGACCTTGCGCTGGTCGCCTTTAGGCGTCGTTCTCTGGTCTACTGTAATTGCTGTTGAGGCTGGGCCCTAGACAAGGCCGCTGTCTCTTGTGTAGGTCAATCAGCTTCAAAAGACGATGCCACACAACATTATAATTACACTGTTACTAAACACAACGCACACAAAAGTAACAGTGTAACATTGTTAGACTGTTCTACTGACGCTGCCGGTGAGGCCGGGCCATGAAGGAGGCTGCCGCTGTCTGTGGTGTGGGCCAATCAGCTTCAAAGACGATGCCATACAACATTATACTTACACTGTTACTAAAGACAATGCACACAGAAGTAACAGTATAATATTGTTAGACTGTTCTACTGACACTGCCGGTGAGACTGGGCCATGAAGGAGGCTGCTGCCGCTGTCTGTGGTGTGGGCCAATCAGCTTCAAAGACGATGCCGTAGATTAATGACCAGAGCCATGTCTGTTTGTTCACCGCAAGCAGCGTGTGTGGTGAATGCAGAAACTTGACTCCTTGCAAAAAATGTTGAGTCCATGTTGGCGTTTGAACGTCTGAACACAACTCCCGCCGTGTTACTGCACCTCCCGTTTCACGGTGAGGAGGTGACACTGACACACGGCGGCGGCGGCAGCAAGCAACCGAGAAGGCAGCGGAAATCTCACCGAAGGCTCCCTCCTGCCGCTATGGGTCTCTGTGTGATGAGCCTGTGGGTCTCTGTGTGGTGAGTCTGTGGGTCTCTGTGTGATGAGTCTGTGGGTCTCTGTGTGGTGAGTCTGTGGGTCTCTGTGTGGATGAGTCTGTGGGTCTCTGTTGATGAGTCTGGGGAGTCCTCTGTGTGGTGCGTCCTGTGGGTCTCTGTGTGGTGAGTCTGTGGGTCTCTGTGTGATGAGCCTGGGGTCTCTGTTTGGGTGAGTCTGTGGGCTCTGTGGATGAGTCTGGTGGGTCTCTGTGTGGTGAGTCTTTGGTCTCTGCGTGGGTGAGTCTTGGGTCTCCTGTGTGGTGAGTCTGTGGGTCTCTGTGTGGGGAGTCTGTGGGTCTCTGTGTGATGAGTCTGTGGGTCCTCTGTGTGGGAGTGGTGGGTCTCTGTGTGGTGAGTCTGTGGGTCTCTGTTGTGATGATCTGTGGTCTCTGTGTGGAGAGTCTGTGGGGGTCTCTGTGTGAGTCTGTGGGTCTCTGCGTGGGATGAGCTATAGTGGGTCTCTGCCGTGGTGAGTCTGTGGGTCTCTGTGTGGTGAGTCTGTGGGTCTCTGTGTGATGAGTCTGTGGGTCTCTGTGGAGTCTGTGGGTCTCTGTGTGAGTCTGTGGGTCTCTGTGTGGTGAGTCTGTGGGTCTCTGTGGTGAGTCTGTGGGTCTCTGTGTGTGAGTCTGTGGGTCTCTGTGGTGAGTCTGTGGGTCTCTGTGTGTGAGTCTGTGGGTCTCTGTGTGGTGAGTCTGTGGGTCTCTGTGTGTGAGTCTGTGGGTCTCTGGTGGTGAGTCTGTGGGTCTCTGTGTGTGAGTCTGTGGGTCTCTGTGTGGTGAGTCTGTGGGTCTCTGTGGTGAGTCTGGGTCTCTGTGTGAGTCTGTGGGTCTCTGTGTGAGTCTGTGGGTCTCTGTGTGAGTCTGTGGGTCTCTGTGTGGTGAGTCTATGGGTCTCTGTGTGAGTCTGTGGGTCTCTGTGTGAGTCTGTGGGTCGCTGTGTGAGTCTATGGGTCTCTGTGTGAGTCTGTGGGTCTCTGTGTGAGTCTGTGGGTCTCTGTGTGGAGTCTGTGGGTCTCTGTGTGAGTCTGTTGGGTCTCTGTGTGAGTCTGGGGTGCTCTGTGTGTGAGTCTGTGGGTCTCTGTGTGAGTCTGTGGGTCTCTGTGGGAGTCTGTGGGTCTCTGTGTGAGTCTGTGGGTCTCTGTGTGAGTCTGTGGGTCTCTGTGTGAGTCTGTGGGTCTCTGTGTGAGTCTGTGGGTCTCTGTGTGAGTCTGTGGGTCTCTGTGTGAGTCTGTGGGTCTCTGTGTGAGTCTGTGGGTCTCTAGTGTGAGTCTGTGGGTCTCTGTGTGAGTCTGTGGGTCTCTGTGTGAGTCTGTGGGTCTCTGTGTGAGTCTGTGGGTCTCTGTGTGAGTCTGTGGGTCTCTGTGTGAGTCTGTGGGTCTCTGTGTGAGTCTGTGGGTCTCTGTGTGAGTCTGTGGGTCTCTGTGTGAGTCTGTGGGTCTCTGTGGAGTCTGTGGGTCTCTGTGTGAGGTCTGTGGGTCTCTGTGTGAGTCTGTGGGTCTCTGTGTGAGTCTGTGGGTCTCTGTGTGAGTCTGTGGGTCTCTGTGTGAGTCTGTGGGTCTCTGTGTGAGTCTGTGGGTCTCTGTGTGAGTCTCTGTGTGAGTCTGTGGTCTCTGTGTGAGTCTGTGGGTCTCTGTGATGAGGTCTGTGGGTCTCTGTGTGAGTCTGTGGGTCTCTGTGTGAGTCTGTGGGTCTCTGTGTGAGTCTGTGGGTCTCTGTGTGAGTCTGTGGGTCTCTGTGTGAGTCTGTGGGTCTCTGTGTGAGTCTGTGGGTCTCTGTGTGAGTCTGTGGGTCTCTGTGTGAGTCTGGGGTCTCTGTGTGAGTCTGTGGGTCTCTGTGTGAGTCTGTGGGTCTCTGTGTGAGTCTGTGGGTCTCTGTGGAGTCTGTGGGTCTCTGTGTGAGTCTGTGGGTCTCTGTGTGAGTCTGTGGGTCTCTGTGTGTGAGTATGTGGGTCTCTGTGTGAGTCTGTGGGTCTCTGTGTGAGTCTGTGGGTCTCTGTGTGAGTCTGTGGGTCTCTGTGTGAGTCTGTGGGTCTCTGTGTGAGTCTGTGGGTCTCTGTGTGAGTCTGTGGGTCTCTGTGTGAGTCTGTGGGTCTCTGTGTGAGTCTGTGGGTCTCTGTGTGAGTCTGTGGGTCTCTGTGTGAGTCTGTGGGATCTCACCCGAGTCTCCCTCCTGCCATTCGACCTTCACCTTCAGCGGCCGCGACGTCTCCCGGCCGGGACGCAGGCTGACGTCTCCTTGGCAACGAAAGCGACACGCAGACACAGCAACTCAGACGCAACTCAGACGCAACGCAGATGCAACTCAGACGCAGCAACTCACTCTGTATGTTGTAGTTGTCGTTGTTGTTGTAGTTGTCGTTGTCGTATCCTCAAATCTTGTAGCTAAATTTTAACCCACTTCCCAATGTGGTATCGACTGCAAACTTGGTATACTTATGTCACACTGATGACAATACTATATTCTATCGTTAAAAATAAATATTTTTCAACCCACCACCCGTAACCCCGTCCCGTCACTAATGACCGCGGCTCAACAGCGCATTTATATCGACCGCAGGCGCAAATCACTCGAACCGCGGCGATTCTGAAACGTGGATGGGGGGGGGGGGAAACCGGAGGATGTGGAGGAAGAAACATCCACGCGGCCGCGGGGAGAGCGACAGAGAGACGCAGACTCCCAAATATACAAATATACAGCAGCGGCGGGCATCGTCAGGGTCGGGGTCGGACCCACGACCTCCTGTACACCAGGCGAGGTAGTCAACTCACCATCATCACCATCATCCTCTCTCACTCACCACCATAATCACCACCATCATCATCCTCTCTCACTAACCATCACCACCATCATCCTCTTTCACTCACCATCACCATCACCACCATCACCATCATCCTCTCTCACTCACCACCATCATCCTCTCTCACTCACTCACTATCACCATCATCCTCTCTCACTCACCATCACCACCATCATCCTCTCTCACCACCACCACCATCATCCTCTCTCACTCACCACCATCATCCTCTCTCACTCACCATCACCACCATCATCACCGTCCTCCTCCACCTCGGTCTTCACCAGCGTCCTCACGATCTCGGGGCCCAGACGGCCCTCACCCTCCTCCTGCTTCACGACCGCTCCTGCTGCACGCGCACACACACACATGCATGAGTCTGTGTGTCTGTGTGTCTGTGTGTGAGTCTGTGGGTGTCTGTGTGAGTCTGTGGGTCTCTGTGTGAGTCTGTGGGTCTCTGCGTGAGTCTGTGGGTCTCTGCGTGAGTCTGTGGGTCTCTGCGTGAGTCTGTGGGTCTCTGTGTGAGTGTCTGGGTCTCTGCGTGAGTCTGTGGGTCTCTGCGTGAGTCTGTGGGTGTCTCTGTGTGAGTCTGTGGGTCTCTGTGTGAGTCTGTGGGTCTCTGTGTGAGTCTGTGGGTCTCTCTGTGAGTCTCTGTGTCTCTATGTGAGTCTGTGGGTGTCTCTGTATGAGTCTGTGGGTCTCTGTGTGAGTCTGTGGGTCTCTGCGTGAGTCTGTGGGTCTCTGTGTGAGTCTCTGTGTGGACCGGCACCCAGGATCTGAATGTGAGCCTCCCTTCTAGATAATTTACATCGACGTTCGAAGTGATCTCACCATCAACACAATCATCGTCAACATCATCGTCATCACAATCATCGTCGTCATCACAATCATCGTCACAATCATCATTGTCACAATCGTCGTCATCACAATCATCGTCGTCACCATCATCGCCATCACAACCATCGTCGTTGTCATCACAATCATCGTCGTCACCATCATCGCCATCGTCACAATCACCTTCACCATCATCACAATCATCGTCGTCACCATCATCGCCATCAGTCACAATCACCTTCATTATCATCACAATCATCATCGTCACCATCATCGCCATCGTCACAATCACCTTCACCGTCATCACAATCATCGTCGTCACCATCGTCGCCATCGTCACAATCACCTTCACCGTCATCACAATCATCGTCGTCACCATCATCGCCATCGTCACAATCACCTTAATCATCATCACAATCATCGTCGTCACCATCGTCGCCATCGTCACAATCACCTTAATCATCATCACAATCATCATCGTCACCATCATCGCCATCGTCACAATCACCTTAATCATCATCACAATCATCGTCGTCACCATCATCGCCATCGTCACAATCACCTTCACCGTCATCACAATCATCGTCGTCACCATCATCGCCATCGTCACAATCACCTTAATCATCATCACAATCATCATCGTCACCATCATCGCCATCGTCACAATCACCTTAATCATCATCACAATCATCGTCGTCACCATCATCGCCATCGTCACAATCACCTTCACCGTCATCACAATCATCGTCGTCACCATCATCGCCATTGTCACAATCACCTTCACCGTCATCACAATCATCGTCGTCACCATCATCGCCATCATCCTCTTCGCACTCCATGGCCAAGCCGGGCCACAGGCCTGGGGCTTCCTCCACCTCCGTCTTGACGAACGGCAGCAGCGCAGCACGCGAAGCCATCTGGGGAGTGGTGGTGCAGTGGTTAGCGCACTGTGTGTGTGTGGGGAGTGGTGGTACAGTGGTTAGCACACTGTGTGTGTGTGTGGGGAGTGGTGGTGCAGTGGTTAGCGCACTGTGTGTGTGTGGGGAGTGGTGGTGCAGTGGTTAGCGCACTGTGTGTGTGGGGAGTGGTGGTGCAGTGGTTAGCGCACTGTGTGTGTGGGGAGTGGTGGTGCAGTGGTTAGCGCACTGTGTGTGTGTGTGGAGTGGTGGTGCAGTGGTTAGCGCACTGTGTGTGAGTGGGGAGCGGTGGTACAGTGGTTAGCACACTGTGTGTGTGTGTGGGGAGTGGTGGTGCAGTGGTTAGCGCACTGTGTGTGTGTGGGGAGTGGTGGTGCAGTGGTTAGCGCACTGTGTGTGTGTGTGTGGGGAGTGGTACACGGAGACCCATAGACTCACACAGAGACCCATAGACTCACACAGAGACCCATAGACTCACACAGAGACCCATAGACTCACACAGAGACTCATAGACTCACCCAGAGATTCATAGACTCACACTGAGACTCATAGAGACACACAGAGACCCATAGAGATACATAGAAACCCATAGAGATACACAGAGACCCATAGAGATACACATAGACCTATAGACACACACAGAGACCCCTAGAGACACACAGAGACTCGTAGAGATACACAGAGACCCATAGAGACACACAGAGAGCCATAGAGTTACATAGAGACCCATAGACACACACAGAGACCCAAAGAGACACACAGAGACCCATAGAGACACACATAGACCCATAGAGATACGCAGATAACCATAGAGATACACAGAGATCCATAGAGACACACAGAGAACCGTAGACACACACAGAGCCCCATAAAGATACACAGAGACCCATAGAGATACGCAGAGACCCATAGAGATATACAGAGATCCATAGAGACACACAGAGACCCATAGAGACACACAGAGACCCAGAGACACACAGAGACCCGTAGACACACACAGAGCCCCATAGAGATACACAGAGACCCATAGACACACACAGAGCCCCATAGAGATACACAGAGACCCATAGAGATACACAGAGACACATAGACACACACAGAGACCCATAGAGACACACAGAGACCCATAGACACACACAGAGCCCCATAGAGATACACAGAGACCCATAGACACACACAGAGCCCCATAGAGATACACAGAGACCCATAGAGATACACAGAGACCCATAGAGACACACAGAGACCCATAGACACACACAGAGACCCATAGAGACACAAAGAGACCCATAGACACACAAAGACACATAGACACACACAGAAACCCATAGATACACGGAGACCCATAGACACACACAGATCCAGTGATGTTGATTCTCAATGTCGAGGGGAAAATCGGAGGACCCGGAAAAAAATCTACGCGACCACAGAAGGAGAGAGACGCGCAAACTCCAAATATACAGCGGGCATCAAGGTCAGGATCGAACCCACGACCTCCTGCACACCAGGCGAGGTGGTCAACATCTCCTAGCCACCGTGATGATGGTGGTGGTGGAACCCACGACCTCCTGTAGACCAGGCGAGGTAGTCAACATCTCCTAGCCACCGTGATGATGATGGTGGAACCCACGACCTCCTGTAGACCAGGCGAGGTAGTCAACATCTCCTAGCCACCGTGATGATGATGGTGGAACCCACGACCTCCTGTAGACCAGGCGAGGTAGTCAACATCTCCTAGCCACCGTGATGATGATGGTGGTGGTGGTGGTGGAACCCACGACCTCCTGTACACCAGGCGAGGTAGTCAACATCTCCTAGCCACCGTGATGATGATGGTGGAACCCACGACTTCCTGTAGACCAGGCGAGGTAGTCAACATCTCCTAGCCACCGTGATGATGGTGGTGGTGGTGGTGGTGAAACCCACGACCTCCTGTAGACCAGGCGAGGTGGTCAACATCTCCTAGCCACCGTGATGATGGTGGTGGTGGTGGTGGTGAAACCCACGACCTCCTGTAGACCAGGCGAGGTGGTCAACATCTCCTAGCCACCGTGATGATGGTGGTGGTGGTGAAACCCACGACCTCCTGTAGACCAGGCGAGGTGGTCAACATCTCCTAGCCCACCTCATCCAGCAGTGGAGAGGGCGATCCGCTGTTGCTGCTGTCCCTGCGACACGTGACGAGAAGAGGGGGAGGGGCTTCGACGACGACGACGAGATGCAGGACAAGACGGAGATGTGATGTGAGACACAGACGAGGTGATGCAGGACAAGACGAGGTGATGCAGGACAAGACGTGGTGATCGGTGACAAGACGACGAGATGCAGGTCAAGACGGAGATGTGACGTGAGACAAGACGAGGTGATGCAGGTCAAGACGAGGTGATGCAGGACAAGACGAGGTGATGCAGGACAAGACGACGAGATGCAGGACAAGACGGAGATGTGATGTGAGACAAGACGAGGTGATGCAGGACAAGACGAAGATGTGATGTGAGACAAGACGGAGATGTGATGCAGGACAAGACGAGGTGATCGGTGAGAAGACGACGAGATGCAGGACAAGACGAGGGGAGGTGTGCGGCAAGATAATTTGATGCGAGACTTGAACAGCTTTAAATGCTTTATTTATAGTGATAGGTGTTTACCCTTTCAACTGGTACAAAAACTGACACCTTTATACAAGGCATCGTGTTTGCAATAACCACAAGACAAGCAGTCAAAATGCAAATCAAAAAGAAACAACTCTGATGATATGCACTGTCCTTGAAGTTGATTGGTCCACACCCAAGACAGCTTTTCTTAGAGCCTAGTCTCACATGGTGCTTGAAGTTGATTGGTCCACACCCGAGACAGCTTTTCTTAGAGCCTAGTCTCCATTGGTGTTGGACCAGATGACGCCAAAAGTTGAAAGGATAAAAACCTATTAGTGATCCCCTCGTTTATCGCGGTTAAAGGGGACCGGAACCCCGTCGCGATAGGTGAAAATCCGCGAAGTAGGATTGGCCCCCTAGGAATTTCGGTATATGTGTGTGTGGGTACCAGAATGTTTAAAATATGTATATTTATACTTTATATATATATTTTACTTAAATCTATTTAATTATAAAACCTTAATATTATACATTCACTCTCTCTCTCTCATACGATACGTATTATGGTGTTCTACACTCACCAATGACAGTAGTATCTTGAGACTTGACTCCAGTAATGACGACGATGACAATGACGATGACAATGACGACGATGACAGACCTGTGCAGTTCGATGAATGTGATGATGAATGATGATGATGATGGTGTTACTGCACAGGTATAATGAGGTCCTTGAAATCAGTTAGATGAATGTGATGATGAATGATGATGATGATGGTGTTACTGCACAGGTATAATGAGGTCCTTGAAATCAGTTAGATGAATGTGATGATGAATGATGATGATGATGGTGTTACTGCACAGGTATAATGAGGTCCTTGAAATCAGTTAGATGAATGTGATGATGAATGATGATGATGATGGTGTTACTGCACAGGTATAATGAGGTCCTTGAAATCAGTTAGATGAATGTGATGATGAATGATGATGATGATGGTGTTACTGCACAGGTATAATGAGGTCCTTGAAATCAGTTCGATGAATGTGATGATGAATGATGATGATGATGGTGTTACTGCACAGGTATAATGAGGTCCTTGAAATCAGTTAGATGAATGTGATGATGAATGATGATGATGATGGTGTTACTGCACAGGTATAATGAGGTCCTTGAAATCAGTTCGATGAATGTGATGATGAATGATGATGATGATGGTGTTACTGCACAGGTATAATGAGGTCCTTGAAATCAGTTAGATGAATGTGATGATGAATGATGATGATGATGGTGTTACTGCACATGTATAATGAGGCCTTTAAATCAGTTCGAAAAATCCGCGGTGCACTGAGGGCCGCGAAACTTGAACTGCGAAGTGGCGAGAGATTACTGTACTATATTTTGCCACTGGTAAAGGAGGTCTCATAGTGCTTTATTTATGTCAATGAAAACGTGAATACATCATTCTTAGCTACCATAATTACTTTTGATTCGAGTCACACTTGCAAAGATTTTTGAAAATAACCTAAACTACGTAACTGTGTTACTACGAATGTTGACAATTGCAACTTTAACCCCGTAATATACTCATTAAAGATGCAACCTTCGAAACGCTTACAAGGTTTGTTTGTTCAATTCCTAACCACACCAAATCACGTTCGTACAAGATGATTGTTGTAACCTTACCCCCCCCCTCCCTGTTTCCCCTCTAACCTCGTAGCAAAACAAGGCAAACATTTTATACAAATATACAAACACAGACATAATTTCAACCGTGATGATGGGTACAAACTGAGTAATCATTGGAAAGATGTGATTAACCATGATTAAAACCGTTTCTGATTCTGATTCGCGCGATCCGTGTCACGCGGCGCAAGCTGCGTGGAGCGACGCGTCACGTGGTGCTGAGCCCGCCCGAAACGCTCTATGAAATACAAATGGAGGGCGTGGCTATATGCACGACAGACAAATAATCCCTGATGGGCAGTGTGGAACTGTTGTTCCTACTTGTATTAATCAGAATCAGAAAGGGTTTTATTCGCCATGAAAGTTCGCACAGACAAGGAATTTACAATGGCAGGAAGGTGCATACATTCAACATGTAGGAATCTTAAAACTTAAAATAAGTGGTATACAGTCTAAATATACTAAAGTTACAAAGTCTATCTTCTTGGTTCTTTCGGTAAAGTCACGTAATAAAAATAAAACATAATAAAATATTACTTCCCTTCTACGTGACTTTACCGACAGAACCAAGAAGATGAATCCCTGCAGTCACGAAAGCTTTAAATCGAAAATTACAAAGTCTAACTAATACTAAGGGGCTAAAGTATGTAAAATTTTGAAGTATACAATATAAAATGTGAATTAGCCATAATATACATTCTTAAAATACAAAAATACAAATAGGGTAACATGTTGTAAATATGGCAAGGTGTAATTTTGTAGAAAAAATGTTAAAGTGTAAAAGTCATTTTAAGTGTAAAAGTCATTTTAAGCCCTCCACTCGCTTAAGGACCAAAGTCACTTAAACGGCCCCGTTTCGCGGAACCAATCACACCGCGGTTAACGGGGGTTTTGCTGCGATCTCCATCCGCAATCGTGTCCTGTACTGGCGAGTGCATCAGACTGTCCTCCCTGCCGACAAGGCGGCGGTGGGCGACGGTGGGCAAAGGGGGGCTTCTGCGATCACAGCCCGGGATCGCAGGTCTCCTCGGGAACTTCCGTGGCCTTTGCGATGCCCTCGGTCTAAATATCTGTGGGTGAAGGTCTCTTTTGGGCGGAGCATGAGACCCGCCCCTCTTTATCGTGGGTCTCGTGAGCTCTCACCTGGCTAAGGGGCCGCCCATAAATGACGTCACGCGATTTGGGACGACTTTTGACCGTCCCCCCCACCCCCCCCCGTCGTCACACGACGTCACAAAAAGTAAAACCCCCCCTCAGATATGACGTCACAAAACTGTCCCACCCCCCCCCCCCCCCCCAAAAAAAAACATGCTTCAAATCGCTTTAAACTATTGTCATTGTAGTGCGTATTTAATGTGGCGCCGCACTGATGTTTTCAGAGAAAACATTTATAAAAAAAAGTCTATTTAATTAAGTAGAAAGTGTTGTCTATATTCATTTAAAGTTGCGCATTTTGATGTGACGTCACATTTCTCAAACCGGCGTCATCTGGTCCAACCCATGTGAGACTAGACTCTAAGGAAAGCTGTCTCGGGTGTGGACCAATCAACTTCAAGGACAGTGCACACATTATCAGAGTTATGTTTTTTGTTTGCATTATGACTGCAGGTATTGTGGTCTATGCAAACATGACTCCTCGTTAAAAAGGTGTCAGTTTTGTTGCTGGCAAATGAGGTACCAATGGTGTAAATGATTTTTTTTTCGTTTTTTCAAAACCGTCATCGCGATCGCCAATGTCGTTATAAATAACACGATGTAACACGATTTTTAAGTGTTATTTTGCAAATTGTTTATGCCTCAAAAGTATAGAAAGTGGCTATTACTCCCCACAAACTTTGATTTTGTGACCAGGACTTTACGTGAAGGAATGACACAAATGCCCACCATGTTTTCTCATTGAAAACAGGAACATTTCTAAATATCACTGTCCTGGTCACAAAAGCAAAGTTTGTGGGGCACAATAACCACTTTCTGTACTTCTGAGGCATAAGCAATTTGAAAAATAACACTTACTACCCAGGAACATAAACCAATATTTGTTACACAGTAAAATCTAATCGCGCCGGTGGGGTGGGGTTAGAGTTGCTGGTGATTTGACTCGGAGCCGTACGTCTCCCTCTCATTGGCCGAGCGAATGATGGGGGCTAGAAACGACCCCCACACCCCGGAAGTAGGGACCCCTCTACTTACGAACGAGTTACGTTACAGAGGTTCCGCCTTCATAAGTCGATTTCTTCGTAAGTCCAACTTTACTCCCTGTCGATTCCAAACACGCAGTATGGCGTGTACACTAAACATGGCGGAATGGCTTTACAAGCTGCATAATCTTCTGCAGATGTAGATGCCACTGGTTCTTCATGTTCTGCAGATGTAAATGCCACTCGTTATTCATGTTCTGCAGATGTAGATGCCACTGGTGTCTTCATGTTCTGCAGATGTAGATGCCACTGGTTCTTCATGTTCTGCAGATGTAAATGCCACTGGTTATTCATGTTCTGCAGATGTAGATGCCACTGGTGTCTTCATGTTCTGCAGATGTAGATGCCACTGGTTCTTCGTGTTCTGCAGATGTAGATGCCACTGGTTCTTCATGTGCTGCAGATGTAGATGCCACTGGTTCTTCACGTTCTGCAGATGTAGATGCCACTGGTTCTTCACGTTCTACAGATGTAAATGCCACTGGTTCTTCACGTTCTGTAGATGTAGATGCCATTGGTTCTTCACGTTCTGCAGATGTAGATGCCACTGGTTCTTCACGTTCTGTAGATGCCATTGGTTCTTCACGTTCTGCAGATGTAGATGCCACTGGTTCTTCACGTTCTGCAGATGTAGATGCCACTGGTTTTTCACGTTCTGCAGATGTCGATGCCACTGATTCATGTTTTGCAGAATTCGATGCTACTGGTTCTTCACGTTCTGCAGATGTCGATGCTACTGGTTCTTCACGTTCTGCAGATGTAGATGCCACTGGTTCGTGTTCTGCAGACGTCGATGGCACTGTTTCTTCACGTTCTACAGATGTCGATGCCACTGGTTATCTATTGCGGGGAGTTGAACTTACAACTCTCGGTCCGAACAGGCAACTCGACACGCGAACAGGTCTGTTCGTATAACTAGAAGTTCGCAAGTCGAATGCTCGTGACTAGAGGAGCCCCTGTATTGGGATTTTCTTTTGAAAATAATTGTTTGTAAATAAACAAAAAAATTGTTCCCCAAACGACAAAAAAACAGCGTCACGACAAATCCTCGGCGTTCTACGGGGCGGTCGCAAGCTAAGCGACGTCTGGTTTCCCCACACAGCGGTATTCACCACGGCAATTGACATGACGCCTGCAATAGAAAATTAGGCAGGCTAATATGGCTAATGTGACTAATGTAACTAATAGCCCTACGAACAGAAGGGTGACATGAGACTGTGACCACGCAGTGGTGGAGGAGGGTGGCCGGTCCGATGGGTGAACGGGAGTCGTCGTCGTCGTAGGAAGGGGCTCCACTGTGAACGCAGGAACCAACAACAGAAACCTTGCGTCAATAAACACAACAACAGCAGCCGCGCACAAACACACACACACATACACAATGACAATGTCAAAGTCTAGATCTGAATTCTAGATTTGAAGCTTTCGTGGCTGCAAGGATTCGTACTCGTAGTTCTTTTGGTAAAGTCACGTTGGTAAAAAATGAAATTAAAATTAATAAAAATAAAATAATAAAAATCACGACGTTTCGGAGGCAACACAAGTCTCCGTCATCAGGTGGGACCGCCACAGCCAGATTTTCTGCATCAAGTGAGGCAGGGATTCAAGATGACGGAGACTTGTGTTGCCTCCGAAACGTCGTGATTTTTATTATTATATTGTTATTAATTCTAGATCTGAAGTTTTCGTGACTGCAGGTATCCATACTCTTTGGTTCTGCTGCAACATTTATGTACAAATTCCTTTTCTAGCTCCTCCCACTTACCATTGGGATGAGCCCACCAAAATCCGATATAAACTCTTGTTGCAGCAGCAGCTCTTTCTCCTATGTCAGCAGTTCTCCTGCTGTGTCTGTTCCACCTGATGACGGTCGCTTGTGTTGCGATCGAAACGTCATGGTTTATTTCATTTTATACCTACGTGACTTTACCAAAAGAACCAAAGAGTACAATGTCAAAGATCCACCGTATAGCCTTAAACAGACTGTTGGGGCAAGTGCTGTTCGCGAGTAGCTGTGGCACACAGAGGGGGGTGGGTGGCCAGCACCACGCTATGAGCAACGCGCACACACACATTTACACACAACAACAATCGCCGATCGCCACAAAGTGGCGATGACATCACCGCAGTGCTTGTGCCAGGCTATGTGCACGTTGAGGCCACGTGAAGTGTCGAACGCCCGCTGGCAGGAGTTCACGGGACAGACCCAGGTGCCACGGGTCGACTGAGATGACTGGCTGATGCACCACCTGTGTCCCCTACTATGCCAACTTGCTGTGCTTTAGCCACCCGGCGCTCCGCTCGTTGTTGTGATCGGCGCTCCTCCGCCCTCCGTTGTTGCTGGAGGGCGACTGCCTCCAATTGCCCAATAGCGTCCTTCAAGAGCTCCTCCACCGAGGCCGATCTTGACACCGCTGGTACCAGTTATTGGCAAGTCCACTAAGCTCCACATCCTGTTGTACCACATCACTCCATCTCTTCTCTAGCCTGTGCCGAGTCCGTTTATCCCCTGTTTAGGCATGCGGTAGCTGGGCATGCGCGCTACATGACCCAGCCAACGCAGCCTTTCAAGGATTTGTGAGCTCTTTACACAATCCATCCTGGTTAAACCCAGGATGGATCGCAACACACGCGATCGTCTTCAGGTGAAGACGATCGCGTGTGTTGCGATCGAAACGTTCGTGATCTCTTATTTTTTCTACCTACGTTCCACACACACTCACACCAACGCACGTACGCTCACACGCGCTCAAACACACGCACATTCACGCACGTGTACACACATACCGACACACGTACGCTCAGGCGCACACGCGCGTAACACACCACTGATGCGGAACCTTGCGCCGAAGTGCCCGTTGGCGTCTAGGGGAATCACGATGTAAATTCCGATGTTCGCCTTGGGGAAAAAAACCAGTCCTCGGAGGGGAGACCAGTCCTTCACGGTGAGGGTGGCGCCGGTCAACGCGTCGCAGCTCGTCGTGCCCATCGTGTAGCAGGTGGCCTGCAGTGGGGCAGAGTTTTACGCGCCGAGAGAAACCAGCAACAGGACGACAACTAAAACTAAAGCAGCCATGATCATTGTTCTTTTACCCTTCTATCTGGAAACAAAACTGACACCTTTTTTACAAGGAGTCATGTTTACATAGACCACAATACCTGCAGTCATAATGCAAGCAAAAAACATAACTCTGATAATATATGCACTGTCCTTGAAGTTGATTGGTCCAACACCATGTGAGACTAGGCTCTAAGGAAAGCTGTCTCGGGTGTGGACCAATCAACTTCAAGGACAGTGCACATTATCAGAGTTATGTTTTTTGTTTGCATTATGGCTGCAGGTATTGTGGTCTATGTAAACATGACTCCTTGTAAAAAAGGTGTCAGTTTTGTTGCCAGATAGAAGGGTAAAAAAACAATTATCATATTTTTTACTGGCAAATGAGGTTCCAATGGTGTAAAGCAGCCATTTTTATTTTATAAAGGTGAGGACCCGCTGAGCTGAGTAGCTATTTTTTCAGGAGCAACCCCTGCCAATCACAAATGATGGCTCAACCAAGTGGGCTTATCATCATCATCAAGTATATTGGTGTAGCCATGTTTGTGTTGTTGTAGTACAGAGTTAGACTGATGGCCTTAATCTAAGTTGTCTTGTGGTTGTTGTTGTTTGACTTGCATCCCACTGGGATTTTTGCACACAGCGTTGGTGTACGGTGATTTTTTTCTGCAATATTTTGCTGTCTTTTCTTGGATTTTCTGTTTGCACTTAGTCACATATTCACTTTAAGATGTTTTTTGTTCATGTTTTTGTTTTTTGTTTGTTGCGGTTGCACCCGATTCAAGAGCCGAATGGCTCACAGGGCTATACCTAATAAATTAACTTGAAGTGGACATTTATATCAGCAGCCAAATCCTCTAAATGTATAGAGACCCATACTCATATAAAAGCAGATAACCACACAGACCCACAGATAGCCATACTCATACAGAACCATAGAGACCCATAGAAATTCATACTAAACTTAGCAATTTTTACTTTACCAGGTAACGCCCCACTGAGATGTGTTAGCTCTTTTTCCCAGGCCACCTGCCTATCACAAACGACAGCTCAACCAAGGGCGCTCATCATCATCATCATGTGGACATTTATAGCGGCGGCAAAAATCATCTGAACGCGCGATGCACATTCTAAACGTGGAGGGAATAACCGGAGGACCCGGAGGAAAAAAATCCACGCGCCTATGGGGGAGTTAGAGACGGAAACTCCAAATACACAGCAGGCATCACTGGGTCAGGATTGAACCCACGAGCTCCTGCATACCAGGCGAGGTAGTTAACATCTCGCCATGACAGCAGCTGGTTGCCACCAACTGGCGGTGATCTTACCACGGCACTCGTGCCAGGCCAGGTGCACTTTTGAGGCTGTCAAGTCAAGTGTGGAAGACTCTCATTGCTTGCTGGCAGGAGGAGGACACGGGACAGTCCCGGGGGCCACGGGTTGACTGCTGTGCCAGGCTAGGTGCAGGAGGAAGAGGTCACGGGAGAGACCCAGGTGACATGGGTTGACTGCTATGCCAGGCTAGGTGCAGGAGGAAGAGGTCACGGGAGAGACCCAAGTGACATGGGTTGACTGCTGTGCCAGGCTAGGTGCAGGAGGTCACGGGACAGACCCAAATGCTGTGGGTTGACTGCTGTGCCAGGCTAGGTGCAGGAGGAAGAGATCACGGGAGAGACCCAGGTGACATGGGTTGACTGCTGTGCCAGGCTAGGTGCAGGAGGAAGAGGTCACGGGAGAGACCCAGGTGACATGGGTTGACTGCTGTGCCAGGCTAGGTGCAGGAGGAGGTCACGGGACAGACCCAAATGCTGTGGGTTGACTGCTGTGCCAGGCTAGGTGCAGGAGGAGGTCACGGGACAGACCCAAATGCTGTGGGTTGACTGCTGTGCCAGGCTAGGTGCAGGAGGAGGTCACGGGACAGACCCAAATGCTGTGGGTTGACTGCTGTGCCAGGCTAGGTGCAGGAGGAAGAGGTCACGGGAGAGACCCAGGTGACATGGGTTGACTGCTGTGCCAGGCTAGGTGCAGGAGGAGGTCACGGGACAGACCCAAATGCTGTGGGTTGACTGCTGTGCCAGGCTAGGTGCAGGAGGAGGTCACGGGACAGACCCAAATGCTGTGGGTTGACTGCTGTGCCAGGCTAGGTGCAGGAGGAGGTCACGGGACAGACCCAAATGCTGTGGGTTGACTGCTGTGCCAGGCTAGGTGCAGGAGGAAGAGGTCACGGGAGAGACCCAGGTGACATGGGTTGACTGCTGTGCCAGGCTAGGTGCAGGAGGTCACGGGGCAGAGCCAGGTTCTATTTTTACGATTTATTTTAGTTTTACCAGGTAAAGCCCACTGACTTAATAGCCATTTTATTACACGCTTTGTATTAACTCACTCTGTCTGCTGTATCCTCAAATCTTGTAACTCAATTTTTACCCACTTCCCAATGTGGTATCGACTGCAAACTTGGTATACTTATGTTATACTGATGACAATACTATATTCTATCATTAAAAATGGAAAAAAACATATTTTATTACACTATTTTTTATATGTTATGTTTCGGCTTGGGTCTAATTGTCCACGCTCAACTAACGGTGGCTGTAAATCACTACGGTCCCTTACGTTGTGGCAAGTTTCGGGGCCACTTCCTGGAGTCGTGGAGTTCTTCCATTACTAGTACGGTACATTTCATTGAAGCGTGTTTTAACAAACTATTTTTTTTAATATTACTTATTATTTCAGAAGCGACCTGGCCACAAATGACAGCACAACTTAGTGGCTTATCATGTGGAAATTTACAGCAGCTAAACAACACCCATGGGTTGACCGAGCGAGATCACTCGCAGATGCACCACCTGTGTTCCCCACTGTACCAACTCTCCGTTTTATCCGCCCGGCGACTCCGCTAGTTGTTGTGAGCGTCGCTCTGCCCCCCCCCTCTCCTCCGCTGTTGTTGCTGGAGGGCCGACTGCCTCCAAACTTGGCCCCATGGGGTCACTTCGCGAGCCTTCTCCGCATCTCTCTCTCTCTCTCTCGCTCTGAGCGAGGCCATGGCTCTCGGCGTGCATCGGTGAGTCTCTGGGTCTCTGCGTGCGAGTCGGTGGCGTTTGGCACGGCCATTGTGAACCACGTGCGTGCCACTCACCAGCGTAGCGTTGCCGCTGAGCAGAGAGACTTGCTTGGTGTCGGCGTGACTCATTTCGAACGGAACCGTGACGTTCAGACCTTCCCGTATCGTAACATTGGCAGCGTCATCATCAACAGCAGCAGCAGCACCAACATCTGGGAAATGATAAAATCTTTTTCAGCATCAGAAGTGGCATCATCGTCATCATCAGAAGGATTGTTATCATCTGCAGCAGCATCATTTGCACCATCATAATCATCAGCCATGATCTAAAAATGCCTATAAGTGAGTGTTATTTTGCATGTTAGTCTATGGGTCTCTGTGCAAGTCTGTGGGTCTCCACAAGAGTCTGTCTCTGTGTCTACGTGAGTGTGGATCTCTTAATGTGAGTCCGTATCTGCGCGAGTCAGTGCGAGTCTTTGGGTCTCCGCAATGGGCCTACAGGTCTCTGTGTGAGTCTCTGTGTCTCTGCGTGAGTCTCTGCGTGAGCCTACGGGTCTCCAAGCGAGTCTCTGCGTGAGCCTACGGCTCTCTAAGCGAGTCTCTGTGTCTCTGCGCGAGTCTCTGCGTGAGCCTACGGGTCTCCAAGCGAGTCTCTGCGTGAGCCTACGGCTCTCTAAGCGAGCCTCTGTGTCTCTGCGTGAGTCTCTGCATGAGCCTACGGGTCTCCAAGCGAGTCTCTGCGTCTCTGTGTGAGCCTACGGGTCTCTAAGCGAGTCTCTGTGTCTCTGCGCGAGTCTCTGCGTGAGCCTACGGGTCTCCAAGCGAGTCTCTGCGTGAGCCTACGGCTCTCTAAGCGAGCCTCTGTGTCTCTGCGTGAGTCTCTGCATGAGCCTACGGGTCTCCAAGCGAGTCTCTGCGTGAGCCTACGGCTCTCTAAGCGAGCCTCTGTGTCTCTGCGTGAGTCTCTGCATGAGCCTACGGGTCTCCAAGCGAGTCTCTGCGTCTCTGTGTGAGCCTACGGGTCTCTAAGCGAGTCTCTGTGTCTCTGCGCGAGTCTCTGCGTGAGCCTACGGGTCTCCAAGCGAGTCTCTGCGTGAGCCTACGGCTCTCTAAGCGAGCCTCTGTGTCTCTGCGTGAGTCTCTGCATGAGCCTACGGGTCTCCAAGCGAGTCTCTGCGTCTCTGTGTGAGCCTACGGGTCTCTAAGCGAGTCTCTGTGTCTCTGCGCGAGTCTCTGCGTGAGCCTACGGGTCTCCAAGCGAGTCTCTGCGTGAGCCTACGGCTCTCTAAGCGAGCCTCTGTGTCTCTGCGTGAGTCTCTGCATGAGCCTACGGGTCTTCACGCGAGTCTCTGCGTCTCTACGTGAGCCTACGGCTCTCTAAGCGAGTCTCTGTGTGAGTCTCTGCGTGAGCCTACGGGTCTCCACGCGAGTCTCTGCGTCTCTACGTGAGCCTACGGGTCTCTACGCGAGTCTCTGAATGCGGTTAACCTACGCGAGAAGATGGCCATGGCGATCAAGGTGTAAGTGGTCAGTTTGTTGGCGAGCTGAAACACAAAGATCATGGACTTATGAAGTGAATCCATCTCTAAACGCTTGAAAAACAAATTCCGGTGCTGCCTGCAAGGTTTTAACTTACGCGGCGATCTCAGCTCCTGCCCCCCCCCCCCCCCCCCCAACAATAAAAATCAGCCGCGGACCGGAACACCGGTCGCGATCGCCCTCAGCGGTGGTTCATTGGAAGGATGTTATTAACCAGGCAATGCTTTCACTGGTTGTGGTTGTTTCCATCGTAACTGCAGGTCTACCAGCACCTTTTATCTGTTGCCCCCCACCCCCCCCCGTGTCTACACTTAGCTTCCCACTTCCCCCCCCCCAGCCTCACGTCCTCTCTCCCCCTAGCGCTCACGAGGCCCCCCCCCCTCGCCCCTACCCCACCCCCCCCCCCCTCTCTCTCACCCCCCTTGCTCCTCCCCCCTTTCGTGCCTATATAATCATAATCAGAAAGGGTTTTATTCGCCATGAGAGTTTGCACAAACAAGGAATTTACTATGGCAGGAAGGTGCATACATTCAACATGTAGGAATCGTAAAACTTAAATAAGTGGTATACAGTCTAACTATACTAAAATTACAAAGTCTAACTAATAATCAGGGGCTAAAGTATGTAAAATTTTGAATAAGTATACAATATAAAATGTAAACTAGCCGTAATATACAATCCTAAAATACAAATAGGGTAACATGTTGTAAATATGGCAAGGTGTAATTTTGTAGTTAAAATGTTAAAGTAAGTGTAAAAGTCATTTTAAGCCCTTGGCCTTGCTGAAGAGGCCCACAGCGGATGGGAAGAAACTGTTTTTATGACGTGAGGTTTTGGTCCTGATGGACCGCAGCCTTCTGCCGGCAGCTCTCTCGCCTACTTCAGCATTTTTTCTTGCTGTGGTTGTCCCACCTGATGAGGATGTTTGCGATCGAAACGTCGCGATTTTTTTATTTTATTTCTACCTTCGTGACTTTACCGAAAGAACCAAAGAGCGAGGGTGGTTTCAACCATCGTCGTCGTCATTATTTCTTGCGTTTGGAGACGCAAAAATAACGGGGCACAGCGGAAAGGGCACGGACGGACGGGGGGGCACTGGACAGCTCTTCGGCGATGGGAACGTGTCGGCGGTTACCTTCTGCGGAGGCGTGGACGCGAGTTCGGCAATCCGGGCGCTCCACGCAGGGTTCTGTTCGCCGATCTTCAAGTAATGGTTGACGTGGGACGAGTTGGGATCTTGCGGATGACAAGGGAGGTGGGGGGGAGGAGGGGGATGGCGGGACGTGACGAGATAGCGATGAGTTTGTTCGCTGCGTGTGTTCCGCTCTCAGTCAGTCGACCCGTGGCACCTGCTGGGTCTGCCCCGTGACCTCCTGCCAGCGGGCGTTCGACACTTCACGTGGCAGCCTCAAGGTGCACATGGCCTGGCACAAGCGTCGTGGTGACATCACCGCCACTTAGCGGCGAATTGCCGTTGTTATTGTTGCATGTGTGTTAGCGTGTGTGCTAGCGTGTGTGTTAGCGATAGTGTGGTGGGGGGAGCGATAGTGTAGTGGTTAGCGCGCTGCGCTATAAACCTGGCGGCCCGGGTTCGATTCCCGCTCACGGCCAACACCAGTGACGATTATCTGAACCGGTCCTGGGCCTCCCCTAGGTCGACTCAGCCTCAAATGAGTACCTGGTGCGATGTGTAAACATCGCCACTGGGGAGACAAAGGCGGCCGGGCGTGGTGTTGGCCACCCACCCCTCGTGTGCCGTGCCGGCCTTCATAGGTGCTCGCTAACAGCACTTGCCCCTACAGTCTATTAAGGCTATACGGGGGATCTTTGTCTTTGTTAGCGTGTGCTAGCGTGTGTGTTAGCACGCGTGTGTACGTGTTCGTGTTGATCGAATCGGCAGGCAGTGAAGTGGGTGGGGCTCGTACCAAGAACACAGCAGTCATCTCCAAACACCACGGATATTGGATGCCACCCTGGATCCTCGAACGCAGTTCCAGCGTCGTTCTTCTGCTTCCCCGCCGATTCTGCGCTCACACACAAGGATCAAGGGGCCGTCCATAAATGACGTCACGCGGTTTTGGACGATTTTTGACCCCCTTCGTCACACGGCGTCACAAAAAGTCAGACCCCCCCCCCTTAAATATGACGTCACAAAGCTCTGCCCCCCCCCCCCCCAAAAAAATAAAACATGCTTCAAATCGCTTTAAACTATTGTCATTGTAGTGCGTATTTAGGGGCCGTCCGTAAATGACGTCACGCGATTTTTGACGATTTTTGACCCCCCCCCCCCTCGTCAGTGTCACAAAAAGTCAGACCCCCCCTCAAATATGACATCACAAAGCTCTGCCGCCCCCCCCCCCAAAATGAAACATGCTTCAAATCGCTTAAAACTATTGTAGTGCGTATTTAATGTGGCGCTGCACTCTGATGTTGTACAAGTGTTGTTATAACAATTAGTGTTGTTATAACAATTCTATATTATGTGACGTCACATTTCTCAACCCCCCCCCCGTCACAAATGTCTGACCCCCACCCCCCGCCCCAGGTGCGTGACGTCATTTATGGACGGCCCCCAACACACACATTACACACACACAACACAGACACACACACACACAAAGAACACAACGACAACACTGAACACACAACACTTGAACCGATGAAACGCAAGTTCTAAGGGGGGGGGGGGGATCAATCCATGACACCGATCCACGTGAACGAGAGTCTCACCTGCAACGCGAGTCTCCACGCCTCACTGGCAGCTTGGAAAAGAAGAGTGTGTGCAGAGAAAAGCTTCCGTGGGGTTAAGTTGAATTTGTTTGACCGGGTCAAGGAGGAGAACTCGCCCTTGAGGGCAGGGCAAGGATCATTTGCAAACGCGAGCCAACGAGGCAGACAAACGAGATGGTGAGAGAACCCCGTAGACTCGCACGGAGAGCCAGACATAAAGAGCTATTGACTCACACGGATACCCATAGACTCACCACACAGAGATACAGAGACGCACACAGAGAGCCAGACACAGAGACCCATACACAGAGATCCATAGACTCATCATACAGAGACCCATAGACTCACAGAGACCCATAGACTCACAGAGACCCATAGACTCACACAGAGAGCTACAGACTCACACAAAGACCCATAGCATCACGCACAGAGACTCATAAAACGGTGATAATGAATTAAAGTACAGTAGATTCTCGGTTATTCCGCGCTTATGGTGAGAATGGCCGCGGATAATTCAAAATCACGGACAATCAAAAATATAACCATTTCCCGCGGATATCTGTGCCAAAAATGCCCTAATGTAGGTTGGGTTATAAATTAAGTGAGATTTTCTCTGCCAACACACGGTTTCGTGGATTCAAACTCACAAAACAAACGATCGGATAAATCACTGAAAATGAAGCACAGCTGACCGTGTAGATTGTTCACTCTCGGCCCACTAAGTCAGGGGTGGGGAACCTTTTTTATGCCGAGGGCCATATGGATATTCATATAACATCATTTGCGGGCCATACAAAATGATCAACTTAACAAGTAAACCCGTAAAAACAAAGTTTTTCACTATAAATCCTTTATATGCGTGGCATCGGGGCGGCTAGAGTCCTCTCGTCCTCTGGCTTGAGATGGCTGCCACCTATGGGTCAGATGATTGTCTGGCAGCATTAAACAATTGGTAATTAAATATTTTTAAAAAATTCCCTAAACAGTGTAAAATTTTGGAAATTTTTTTTCACGAAAATGCATTGTCACGCACAACGAGTCTGTGTGCAAAATGTCAGCTCGATTGGATCACGGTAAGTGGGTTAAAAAACGACCGAAAGATTTGCACGGTCCTAAGCAAGCAAGCGAACTTAATATAAAGGATTAAAAAATTAGCCTGTTATATTTGGACATTTAATTAACTCGCCCCTAACGTGATGGGCTGGAACTGATTCTCTTTGGTGAGGCGTGTGATGTTAGCTGGCTATTGATGATGTTGCTACTCGCAACCGCTTTTCCAGGTTTGCTCCTAGATTTGTTGAATTTCGAGTCCCGCCTGCGGTTGCCTTGGGCAAGGCCGGACCAAATAATTTTGCGGGCCTCGTACGGCCCGCAGGGCCGGACGTTCCCCACCCCCAGCACTAAGTGGATGACAGCAGCAGTGCCATGGCCAATCAACACCAACCAAACTCGGCCCCATTGTGGCGCAAAGATATGGCAACTACTGCGGTGTAGAGGCGATCGCGTGGACATCAGGACTAACCGGAGCACGCAGATTTGTTCGTTTTAAGCGCCACGCGACTTGTCATGAACATATCACAGGAAAAACACAATGTTCTGTAACTGGATTATTAATTTGGGCTGAAGGGAAAATACACGAGTTATTCATTTATGTCAAAACCTCCGGTGCGCGATTAATCCGCAAATCGGATAAACTGCGCACGGTTAATGGAGTCTACCGTATTTTGTTATATATACAGTACAGTGCTTATTTCAATTGTGGTGTTGTCTATTTTTGGTTTCCGTGTACCCAGTGTTTTTAGATGTCATCTGCTTCAGAGATGAAATGTGCTGTCTATTACGGATTTTGATGTGCTGAATTCAAATATGACAATTAAAACAACCGATTGGCCACTGTTCCCAATATATTTAAGTTTTTACGTCTGCATATTGTGTAGACAGTAGAGTTTTACTCGTAAATTGTAAATCAAGGTCTTGTCATGTGTTCATGGTTGCTTTATATGATAATTATTGAGGCGAGGCGAGGCTTAAGAACTGAATGTTGCGGTGTTCGTTTTCACGGCTCTCTCCAAAGAACGTAACCGCCACGATATTCAAGGGTATCCCTCCAGCATTATCATCAACCCACCCCAATTATTATATTAGTCATGGTCCCCTGCTGTGTTATTATCGATCCACCCACCCCATCGTTATTTAGGGTCACATCCTGCCGTGTTATTATCATCGATCCACCCACCCCATCGTTATTTAGGGTCACTTCTTGCCGTGTTATTATCATCGATGCACCCACCCCATCGTTATTTAGGGTCACCTCCTGCCGTGTGATTATCATCGATGCACCCACCCCATCGTTATATAGGGTCACTTCCTGCCGTGTTATTATCATCGATGCACCCACCCCATCGTTATTTAGGGTCACCTCCTGCCGTGTGATTATGATCGATGCACCCACCCCATCGTTATTTAGGGTCACTTCCTGCCGTGTTATTATCATCGAAACACCCACCCTCATCGTTATATAGGGTCACATTCTGCCGTGTTATTATCATCGATCCAC